CTATTCTCCCATCACCATTAGAATGAACCTACATGACTCCAGCCAATTTGCTGTCAATAATTTGTAGAATATTTGCAGAACAAAGACTCTTACCAGCATACATTAATCATCTGTAGGTGTTTCTTCATTCTTTACATAAGTGAAAAAAGAAACATTTTAGTGTTAAATATGAACACTACTTATTACAATTAAAATAAAAGTATCTAGAATTCAGATCCTTCCATTCACTTATTAACCAAATAATAGCCAAACACCTGCAGTGTGCCAGAGGTGGTGCTCCAGTTCTAGAGTAGATGGCATCTAGTTTTGAAATTCAGACCCATGATAAGCTTATGGCCTGTTATTTTCTTTTGCAATTAAAATCTTCAAAAATATATCAATATTATTCCAAATGACCATGAGCCCTTTCTATAATAACCCAGGAGGGTCAATAACATGTAGAACATGGTAACAAAGCAACAAGACATTTTTAAAAGACATTAGCTCCTACAATATACCTGACTTCCAAATGCCAACAGGATTAGTATTCAAACATGGCACACACACACAAATCTCTTAAGGAGGAAGGCGTGGAAGAGTTAAAAATTTGAATTTTTCTACATGAGGTACAGCTTTGTTCCGTAGCAGAGTTGTGCTTCTATAACAGGTTACTTTGAGTCTTGTCCCTAGGAGATGGAACCTTACTGTAGTGTAAAGTGTAGCTTGCATTCTTTCTTCTTAACAATACAATACAGTGCCCCTGACATTATATTAAGTGTTTCTTTGCTTATTGTCCATCTGCTCCACCTAGAAAACTAACCTCATGTGAGCCACTCACTGTTTGGGTTATGACTATTTTCCCAACACGTAGTACAGGGTCTGGTGACAAGAAGGTGCTCCATAAAACTTTTGTTAAATGTTGAAAGAGGAAAGAATAATATATTCATGATTTGATTTGTTTCCCAAAGAGGAGTTAATATTAAATAGGGAGTGTTTATTAATATTTGTTGGACAAAAGCATTTTAAATTAAGCCTTCCAATCATTAGACAGTGGCTCAGCAATCTTCTGTATTTACCTGAAATGATGCATGATCAATGTCAGTTCTAAAGTCAGTAAAATCAATAAAATCATTTTCCATTTAGAATTCATTCTCTGCTAGAAAAAAAGAAGAGAAAAAGGTGGTTTGAGACAGTAAATAACAGCTTCCTTGCCATCTTCTGGTAATAAACTAATGTTTGGAAACTTGGGTACAAACCAAGAGTCTGATTCTAGAATTCTCAGCCTCAGGAAGATGGCAGACTTGAGCCAGAGAAACCATCTATTCTATTTGAAGTCTTCAAAAGTCTCCCTTAGAATGATGATAGATTCTTTTTAGATTAGAATTGAAGTATTGATTACATTCTTTTTGTGTTCCTTTATCAAGGTCCACCCTGATTGCTTAGAGGAAATTCAAGAAAACAGGTGCAATTTCACTTATGTATCTGTGAAAATAAAATGAGATACTTATGAAGAAATCTTTATACATAATATCCTGATGCCAAAGTTGATTTGTGTATATATACATATGAATATATGTATGTATAAGTACACCTATATACGTATTGACTGATAATTTAGATATTGACTAATAACTGATTAGTCCCAAAGATAAAGTGATAATTTATTCAAAAACTATAGGACTAGAACCCCAAAACATGAGCTCTCTCAAAATTAGATCCTTGTAAACAGTGATTAAAGGTTAAATTAAAAACATGAGGCTCTGAAATGGAATCTTTGACTCCATTTCATACACAAAGCTATTGATTAAAGAGTTAGGTAGGAATTCTGTTTATAAACATAAGTTAACCTTCAGTAGACACAGTTTGAGAACAGGTCCTGCTTTTGGGTTATTTGTTGGAATCCAGTGGTCTCTGATACCTACTTTTTGAATTTTTATCTGATCAGTAAGATTTGATGAGTTAGAGCGATATCTTTCAATATGGTGACCATCTACATTGAATGACCAGCGAGTGCTTGAAATGTTGCTAGTCTGAACAGTGGAGTTTGAAGACTTGGTATCCAAAAAATAATAACATAACTCAATGGTATTTGCATGGATATATTACAGGTTGTAAATGGAATTTTAGATATGTTGGGTTAAATGAAATAATGTCATTTAAGTAAATTTTGTCTGTTTCTTTTACCTGTTTGCATTTGACTCCAAGAAAATTTGAGGTGTATTGTTCAACTGGACACTTCTTGTACAGATAATTCCTGGCAGGGAAAGATTCTGTTGGGGCAGAATTTTAATTTCCCAGCAATGTGAAATGTCCCCTTAAATTCAAAAACATTGAAACATCCTACAGATGAGGTCAGACTCCATCTAGCCAGGTACTTTTCTGACAATGCCCTCAATGATAGTATCTCAAAAGTAAGCCATATGCTAATGTTTCACTTACTTTATACAGTATACTTTTAATGCCCAAAGGTTTGAGAACGATCCTTAGCTGTGATTTTTGCCAGCTCATCCAAATATTCATAGTCTTAAGGGACGTACCTTTAACTTGGGTGACACAAAGTGGTCTCAGAATGCTTCCCAAGCATTATCTTTTTGGGTTTTTGTAAAAAAAAAAAAAAGTATTTGAATCTTTCAATAGTGATGTCACTAGGCTCTTTTGATGATGAAAGCACTTAGAAAGTCATAGTACTGTCACAATTGACACATTAAGCAGCAGCTGCTTCTCATTGCTACAGATGGTAGAACTTTGTCACATTTGAAAAAGGGGTTAAAACATATTTTGCTTCTTCATGCTTCTATACTTACCTGGTGACTGACTTTACCTGAGCAATATATTCTCAGTGATATGCTGCACTTGCGTGTCTATGGATGTGAAGGATGGAAAAGAGCAGCATCTTCTTCCTCAATTGGGCACTGTCTGCTCATCTCAAGCAGATCTAATCCCTTGGCACCTTCCTCAAATGCTGTTGAAGTGTCCATTTTCTGATTAAAGACTTAGCGCATTTTCATTTGTCAAGTAGGTAAAAGCACAAAGAAGGAAATGACGATAAGCAATATAATCACATTGTCGTGAGATAATAACTCTTAATTTGAGATCTCATGCACCTTCTTCTTTAAAAATAAATTAGCTCACTCATAGCAGGGGTATAATGGACCAGGCGAGAAAATAACAAAAATAATGAACAACCATATACCAGAGACATTTTGTGGGGGTGGAGTGGGGAATGGGATCAAAAATGGAGGGGTGGGAGGGAAGTGCACGTGACTATGGTGATGGCACAGGGGTGATTTGGTGATGGGAAACCCATGGGGATTACAATTGAGATGGAAAAAAAATGTGAAAAATGATGTAAAAATAAACTTTTTAATAAAAAAAAAAATAAATTAGCTCTTCATAAAGCACCGGGGAGGGGGGAGTAATAATAATGAACAAATATCTACCAGAGACTTTTTACAGGGTGGAGTGGGGAAGGGGATCAAAAATGGGGGAGGGGGGAGTGCACGTGACTATGGTGATGGCACACGGGTGAATTGGTGGTGGGAAGCCCACGGGGATTACACCTGAATGGAAAAAGGCACAAAATGATGTAAAAGTAAACTCTTATAAAAAAAATAAATTATCTCTCGATAGAAAAAGAAACACACACACAGTAAAATATTCTATCAGGAAAAAGATTACATACTTTAAGTAAATAGATCATCGGGAAAGAGTACAGTCCAGAACCAGACGTACACCTATATGGACAATTGATTTTTAACAAGTTAGAAAAATCAACTCATGGGGGAAATGATATTGTCTTGTGAAAATGACCTCTAGAATTGGGTATCCATATAAAAAGATAAAAAAGGAAGTTTGATCAGCACTTTGTGCCATATACAAAAACCAACTCAAAAATGGTCATTGACCTAAGTGTAAAATCTAATAAAAAGTATTTAAAACATAGGAGAAAAACAGTCAAGACAATGAAAAGGAAGTAGATTGGGAGAAATGCAGCAAAGATGAGCAAAATATTTGAGCAGACATTTCATACACACACACATAAACCCACCATAACACGCAGAGAGAAGGCTTGATAAGTCTATGAAAAGGGAAATGAAGTATATACCATATAAAGGCCTGTTTACGATTGCTCATAGCTTTCTTGGTAATAGCCAAAAGGTGAAATCCATCTGTCCATTAAAAGTGAATGGATAGGGCCCTCCGTGGTGGTGCACTGGGGTAAAGCACAGCACTGCAGCCAGTGCAGCACAAGTTCGAGCTCTGGCCAGGGAGCTGAGCTGACTCCCATGCACAGCAGACCTCTCCTGTCCTGCCCACTGCTCCCCTCAGCAGTGTATTTCAGTCAATCTGCCCGTTTGGCTCCCCACTCTATCTCTGGTGGATCCTCTCACCCCCACACCGCTGGCCTACCCCCAGTCTTATATGCATAAGTAAATAAAATAAAGCGTTTTCTCTTTAAAAAAAAAAGTGTGTTTCAGTTTTCTCTTTTTATTTTTCCAGTAGTTTTTTCAGGGAAACAACTTTAGTTTTAAAATACACAGTTCATTTGAAATCACTCCAAGTTTGCTAAATAACGATCTGCCCACCTGGTGTCATTGAAGATTCCCATTAAGAGTGTGTTATTGTAGTGGCCGTGACTTCCCTCATTCACACCGCTACACGATCCCTTTCTTTAAACAATAGGACAGTATATCTACGTGGGTCAGTCACAGTATTTCAGACTTCATCTTGATGTGAGAGATTCTGTTTTGTTCAGTGTGATCTGACAAGTAATATTTCCTTGACATTCATACCAAATGTGAAATCATTTTATCTCCCTCTGGTATCAGTACATTCATTTAATAACTGCTGTATCCCAAGTACCTGCAAGCACAGTATGAAAATGCCATGTTGGTGGGCTTGCCATCTTCTTGTCAGCGGGGATTTTCTAGTGCTCAAATTTGTCAAGTACTGATTTTCTAAGGGATAAAACCAAGTGATGCTTTTAAAGTCAGAGCTCTGAAGAAGGAAGGACTATAAAATTAGTTTTTCACCCTAAGGTAGTTATAATCCTTCTGAGCCCAATAGAGTTTGACAGTATTAATCCCAGAGATCGCAGGTAATCTGAAAGGCCAGCAGTATTCTGGTGACAAGATTTTTGTAGGTTTGTGGAGAAAGAAATACTTATTTAAGTGACTTTCGTCATGCCACACTGCTTCAACGTTGTTTTCCTTGTCCTTCATGATTTTTCTAAAGCACTCCCTGGTAATATTGAGAACCTGAATGGGAGTGCCACCAAATACAGCAGCATGGTAATAAAAATCCCCCTCACCCATAGGTATATATGCTTCTGATAATGTACTTCTCTCATAAGGAAATTGGGTGGCGTTTTCCTGAAACCAATAAGCATGTAACTGAGCAACTGACTCTCCCAGAGTCTCCAGGCCATACTTCCTTAGGAAGACCTGATCCACATCCATGCAGAAGAGGAAGTCGACCTCGTATTGGATGTGATCTACGATGTGCTCACTGATGATCTTCATTCGCATCATGCTGACATCCTGCCATCTCTTCTCTCGCTCGATTTCAAAAACCTTGATGGAGCGGTGGGGACTCAGCGGCATCCACGGCATCTTGGAGAAGTCATCTATCATGACATAAATGATCACCTTCTGGCCAACCATAAAATGCCTATCAGCAGTCGCTATAAATCTTTGCAAGTAGTAGTCGATATACCTAGGAAGTAAATAAAAATTGATTAAGCTTGTCTTTTCTATCTAGTGGAACCACGCTATTGAAATTATACTGACTGCAATTCACCCAGAAATGCTACCGAGCAGCCGAGTATTAGATAGGGTTCTCGAGTGCTATTTAAGTCCTGTGGAAGAAAGTGAACTCCTCTACCTGGTGGAGCTTAGTGGAACAGAGGTGAGAAGTTTGCCACGACAGGGGATTAACTTCGTGAGACCAGAGAAAACCGAGAGCCAGAGTTATCAGCCATGGAACTGACTTTGGAGATTGTAAGCAAGAAAGATCTTGGGTCACAGCAAGAGTAGTTACTCATGTTTGTGACTTGCTCCATGAATAGGCAGTTATGTGTAAAAGGTCAGGGGTGGCATGGTCAGTACCCCCATTGCCTGCACGTTCCTATATTGCCTTGAGACTGCTGGACTGGCAAACAAAATTTTCCATTTCCAGTCTCTCAAGTCAGTAAAAGATTCTCAGAGTAATAAATGGCCTCCGGTCAGTTAAAAAAAAAAAAAAAAAGGAAGTAATCAGATGTAACTCAGCTTTTCTCCAGTAATGTTTTCATAATCCTAACAAATAAGTTCTGGATGTTGAGATCTGTTTTAAGAAGGAAAGCAGGTCAGGTTAAGAGAAAACGATCTAGTTTGGAGCATCTGAATATTAGTGGGTAAATTATGAAAAATATCACCAGGTATTCTGCTGAGCTGGGAGCTGGCAGCTCACATCTAAGCACGTGTAATAGATTTCTTTTAGAACTTTGTGTCATGATGCAGAAGTCTGTACCTTCCCAAGACAGTGAGAATATTCTCCTGCATTATCTTCTAGTAGCTTTATGCTTTCATCTCTTACATTCAATACTATTATCCATTTGAGCTAATTCTTACATGATGTGATACAGGGCTGTTTTGTGTTGGTCTTGAGTTTCTCTTATTGCTCATGGCCCTGGCATTTTTGAAGAGTCCTGAGCACTATTATGTAGAATGATCTTCAATTTGGGCTTTCTTAGGTAAAGTTGATCTTAATATACACTTATCAGACTTTTCCTTTATGAGTAGTATTTTCTGTGTCTTGACTAAGAACTTTTTTAAAAAAAGATTTATTTCTGTGTACAAGAATTGGGGTATGGGCCAGAGTGGGGGGGGCGCGGGGAGTGAGAGGATTCACCAGAGACAGTGGGGGGTAGAACAGGCAGATGGACTGAAATATACTGCTGAGGGGAGCAGCCGGAGAGTCACCTCTCTGGCCTGCCTTGCTTTACCCCATTGCGCCACCAGTGAGGTAAATTCTTTTCTATCATGAGTTCAGAAGCTTTTCCTTGAGTGTTTGGTCTTGAGACCCCCAGGGCATCAGTGCTGTTGGACTTGTATATGGGGTGCTGTATTTCCCGCGTGCCACCCATTTTCTCCAGCATTGTTTATGGGACTCTCCTTACACATCTGCAGTGTCATTGCCAATTAACATATGTCTACCATTTGCAAGGGACTTTGCTTTATTATATTGGCTTACTTGTTCATCCCTATCACAGATTTTCATGTCTAAATGTTCTTTGTAGATACCGTAAATCTGCTCTCGGGTTTTCAGTCCCACCTATGCGCCTAATTTCAGAAGAACTTAATGCCATTAATGCCGGAGACTTTCAGGGGTTCTTTAATGCAGAAGGGATTTTATGGCAAAGTTATGAGGCTTTGGTTTCAGCACCCCTTTGCCTATACAGCACCCTTCTAATACTCAGGTGGAAGGAAGCAGCTGCTCCTCTTGTGTCCTGAAGGAAGGAGTGCTGCCCCAGCATGGGGTCACTGTCCTGTCAGAGATGGGGGGCAGCAACTGGAAGGGGTTAGAGTGGGTGTGAGGAAGAGGTACCCAGAAGTGTCTTCTGCCTTCCTTCCTCCCCTCCTATTTTTTTTCCTTTTTAAAGAATTACCAGTATTTAACAACATGTTAATATAAAGGTGATAAACATTATAATTTTAATTGAATATTTTGTACATCATTCAATGTCACTTAATTCTTTTTTGCACTTTGTTGATAGGACTTTGCTCATTAGAATGAATTGGGAAGTGTTGCCTACTTTTCTGTATTTTGAAATAGATTGTGTAGAATCAGTGTGAATTCTTTAAATATTTGGTAGAAATCTCCAGTGAAATCAACTGGGCCTGAGACTATGGAAACTTCAAAAAATTTCAATTCTGTTTCCTCAGTAGTTATAGGGCCATTCAGATGATGTGTTCTATCATGGATGACGTGTGGTGGCTTGTGCATTTCAAGGCATTTCATCTAAGTCGTAGAGTTTTTATAATATGCCCTGATTCTCTTTTTGATGTCTGCAAGATCTGGGGTAATATGCTTAGTTGTTTCCTGATATTAGTAATTTGTGTCTTATTTTTTTGGCTAGACATCCTGGATGATTGTGAATTTGACTTTCTTCAAAGAACCAGCTTTAGTTTCATTGATTTTTTTTCCTGTGTATTTTCTGGTTTTGGTGTCATAGTTTTCTGCTCTCATTTTTATTATCGCCTTATCTCATTTTTATTATCTGCTTGGTTTGGCTTTATTTTGTCCTACTTCTAGATTCTTGAGGTGAGATTGTTGATAATCTTCCTTTTTCTACAATGAACAACACCAAATATAAGAACACTGGTATACCTACCTTCCCACAGCAAACACAGTCAACCCCACAGTAATTTTATGTTTTGCGTAGTAATTTTCCAGTATTTCATCATTGTAAAAGCTGTGCCACACAACTGGGGCCGACCAGTTGGTAATCAAGCTTGAGGCTGTACTATAAGAAAGTAAAAATACAGCAAAAATACCTTTTACTAAAACAGTAGATGCTGTCCATGCATAAATCATGTGTCTGATGACAGCATTTCCTTATTCCTAACCCAAAGCCTTGATGGTTATGATAAACTGGGGGAAACGCTGATCAGAAATGGCCAGATCATTACAAAAGTATCCTTACAGGTCAGTTATAATGTGATTTCAAGATCTTTGAGGACATACCCAAAGACTAACATAACAATTTCTCTTATATCTGAACAGAATCTCCTGATCTTGCACTTTTTCTTTGACACTGATTATTTTCAGAGACCATATTTTGAAAAACGAACTTCCTGGTTTTCATAATCCAAAAGACTACCAGGACAACAGTACAGCATAATCTCAGAGTCAACTTTTTCACAAATCTGAATGACAACCAAAGTTTTAGGACAACCAAGCAAAAGTTAAATTAAGAAAAAGGTGCCTCAACACAGCAGTAGGAAAGCTCTGTGGCCTGCCCCACCCCCTCCTCAGGGTGGCTCTCTGATTCTGCAGGGAGAGAGCAGCTGATTGCCACGGGACTGTTTTGACCTGAGAGTTCCCTGTGGGACTGCTCACTGTACTTTCCTGTGTTTCACTTAACTGCTCTTAAAATGGAAACATGGTTAAGTGAAGGCATTCCTTGGAAACATTTCTTTTTTTAAAGATTTATTTATTTATTTATGCATACAGAACTGGGGTACAGGCCAAAGGCGCAGGTGCAATGAGAGGCTTCACCAGAGACAGAGTGGGGAGTAGAACAGACAGATCAACAAAGTACACAGCTGAGGGGAGCAGCGGGCGGGTCAGGAGAGGTCTGCCGCGCCATGTGAGTCACTTGCGGGACAGGGATTGAACTCATGCTGAAGTGGCTTAGCTTCTTAGTGCTGTGCTTAACCCACTGCGCCACCAGGGAGGGCCCTCCTTGGAAACATTTTTAAAAGGAAAAAGTACTTGCTACCTGGGGCAAAAGATTACAGTCAGGCTAAGTACTAGATATGCTGAAATTCTGGGAGGAGAAGCTTGGAAGAGCGTTCTGTGGATAATCGGGCTTTGACATGATCTTGTGGTGAGGAGGGGCTGAGAAACCTTCACATGTGTTCAGGGCAGGATGCCTGCTCAGGGAAGTTCCACCAGGACCTGAGACTTCACCTGACAGGCTATTCTTTTCGAAGCCTCACTTTGGTTTATCTAATAAACTGTCTAGTACTGGGATTATGGTTTCAATCCACAGGGTGATGGAGATACGGAATTGATAGTGGTGAGAGTTACACAACATTCTGAAGATACTGAGAACCATTGAACTGTACAGAATTGATAGTGGTGATACGGAATTGATAGTGGTGAGAGTTACACAACATTGTGAAGATACTGAGAACCATTGAACTGTACATTTTGAAATGATTTGAATGGTGAATATTATGTTATGTGAATTTTACCTAAAAAAAAAATAGCATAAGCTACAGAGAGAATTTCATAATATCTAACGGACACTGGGATTGTATCTAAAATATAAAGACACTCCCTTCAAATCCGTAAGAAAAACAATCCAGTGGGAATGGTGGGGGAGAGATGTGAGTTGGTGTTTTACAAAAGTGAATATCCAAGGGGTCAATATTCACATGAAAGGTGTTCAACCTTAATGGTCATCAAGGACAAAAATGAAAAATGCGATGGTACTCAAGTGCATTATACGAAAAAGGTTTTATTAACTATTTCAGAAACTGTAACAGTGAGTTGTCTTCTGAAAATTCATCTGGTGAAGCCCTAATCCCTAATGTGACTGTTAGGAGACAGGGCATTAGAGAAGTATTTAAGGTTAAGTGATGTTATGTACCAGGGTTGTGTGCGCAGAGCAAAGGCCCCATCAGGACGCACCAGAAGAGCACTATCTAGAAGTCAAGGAACAAGGCCTTAGGAGAACCCAAACTTGCTGCCACCTTGATTTTTGAACTTCACGCTTTAAACATGGAAGGAAAATAACTTATGTTTTTAAGACAGGCCCCCTCCTACCAATGCAGTGAGAACTGAAGTTCGCCAGTGGCCTGTATTTCACACCCAGTGTTTGGGTGAAAACATGTATGGTTTCTCCACTGTTCAGGTGCTGGGATGAACCATTGCCCTGAATTTTGTGCATCTGCCTCACTGTTGTGTTGTTAGCGGGAAGCGTGGCAGTTTTTAAGTATGTCTTTCACAACCAAACCCTCCACACTAGACTCAGCTTCTTTGTATGGGTTGGAGCTCTGCAAGCCGCATTTCCCCTTTCCAAGCAGGTTAGGCTCTGCCCAGAGAGGGCACTGGAGGAAAATTCCAAGGCTGGGAGAAGAAGGAACATGCTACTTCTTGTTTCTCTGGGTTCCTTGTCTGCATCTTGTTCCTGCAAGTCCCATTCCAGCCATGCACTGTCACCACAGCGGTGATGGTTCCTCAACTGCCGTAGCAGTGAAGTGTTCAGCTTCATGAACACTTGCAAGACCAGTCTGGCTGGGCCCCTCCTTGGAGGTCTGGTTCCCTGCCCCTAGAGGCCTGTGTGGGCACAGAGACTCCCCCACCAGTTGAGCAGCATGAGTTTAAGCTTACGGAGCTCCTTCTCTAAGTTTCCAGGTTTAATAATCCCAGCCTCTTTTGTTTCTCCAGCCTTAGGGGATATACCTACTTCCTATGGTTTTTCCCTCTATGACACCTTCAAGCCTTCAAGTTCTTTTTTTTTTTTTTTTTGTCTTTTAAGTGATCTAGTTCACAGCTTTATATAATTCTTTACCCTTTTTAGATCACTGGTGCTCATTCTGTGTTCTGATTCCACTCTGACATGTTATATTATGGGAAGATGAATCAGGGACCATTATCTAATCATGATCTTCCCTAGATGTCTCTTGTCAGTGTTTTGTTTTTTTTAAGGTTTTTATTTATTTATGAATACAGAACTGGGGTACAGGCCAGAGGTGCAGGGGCAGTGGGAGGATTCACCAGAGACAGAGTGGGGAGCAGAACAGGCAGACCAATGAAGTACACTGCTGAGGGGAGCAGCGGGCAGGTCAGGAGAGGTCTGCTGCGCCATGTGGGTCACCTCTGGGGCGGGGATCAAACTCAAGCTGAAGTGGCTTTAGCTCCTTAGTGCTACGCTTTAAGCCGCTGTGCCGCCAGGGAGGGCCCTTGTCAGTGTTTTAATTAAGATACTTCCTTGCATCCTGAAGTGTTGGGGTGCAGGATAGTTGCATAAGTGGATGGAGGCAGAGAGACCACAGAAGGGCTGTTGTGTAAAAGAATGAGGAGCACAGAGAGCCTCTTTTGGGCTTGGGTTCTTTCATTGGAGATAAGACAGGTCACTAATCAAACATGCTGACATGTTTCAAACACATGCTGACATTTTCCCATGCCATCACTGCGACCTTTGAGTTCTAGCACCTAAGCTCTCTCCTAGAGGATGTAGGTTCTAACAGCTGCCCCCACTGGGTCTTGGACACTTGCTTTTTTAAAAAACTATAATCAAAGATTGGTGAACATGCCAGTGTTTAGAATGTCAGTCATAGTATTATTGCCACTTACTAGCTTCTGCTGAGCAACCTAAGGGTTCACCCCACATGCATTAGATTTAGAATTCTTACTTGGGACTATACCAGTCTGATAGCTGTAGTTTTGCTGGTTGATCATTCATAGACCTATCAAGAAAAATAACACAAAGAGTCACACTCTATATACTAGTGTTTGAGGTCACTAAGTGTCTATCAAGTTGTGGATTATACTGTAATGAGATGTCAAATGCAAGATAAATAAAATTTTAAAAACTTCACATTGAATTTTGATGTTGGCAATATGGAAAATGCATCATTTCCAACCTCAACTCGACCCTGTACCACCCAGAAGTCTTTGTGTTTCCATAGTTCTCTCATTCACAAGAAAATGGCAGCCATCAGAGGAAAACTTCGTTGGTGTCTGCCAGCTCACATCCGAGTTTACCTGTGGAATTGTGGACCCTGTACACCACAAAAAAACCTGTACATCACAAAAAAACTGTGGAGCCTGTGGAACTCCTTTGCCTCTGGCATGATGGGAACCTGTCTCTGCTTTCTGTCAGAGGGCCGCCTTACACATTTTGTTTTCTCAGGAGCCTTGATGTGATCATTTTTCTTTGAATAGCTTCTCCAGGGCCCTCTATCTGATCATTTGGTTCTCTTCTGGGCATTTTCCTGTATAGTGTGTTATGCACAACTTCGCCCATGATTTAAACTCATGTGATCAATGGAGCTTGGATTTTGTACAGACACCACAAAATGAAGATCCTTAATGTTAAAGTCAGAATCTCACCTCTGAAGTAGTTTCTCTTCTTATGTTGCTTTTGCTCACTGGATTCACTTGACTTGTCAAGGCAGAACTCTAAGTCAGTCTATACTCAGAGGCCCCCCAAATCCCCCCACCACCCCTGAACCTTGCTGGTTTACCTCAAGTGTCACTGTACACAGGTAGGTGTGACTGGATAGAGACAGGGCATCTATCCAGGTGCCCGCTGGCATGGGCAGTGATGCCTTTGGGCCAGATGTTAAGGCCGGATGTTAGAATCCTGTGGTGAGAAGGGCTAATATTGACAATAGAATGCTTGTTAAGTGGTTCTACCTTGTATACATTTTGCTAGAGGACATGTTAACCAGTTCCTGCTTCTAGCCTCTGCTGCGGCCCTTTCCTGGAATGTTCCTGCCTCTGCCTGCTTTTTTCGGGGAGTTGGGCATTACTGCGCCCCTATTAACTGAAGCTATGTCCAAGGGAAACACACTTTACCCAGCACATGAAATGCTTCTTTGCCATTTTATTTTCAGGCATAGCACAGATTCCCCCCAGGTATGGAGCCATGGTTTTAGGGGAACTGTTGTAAATCACCGAAGCATCAGAGATGAGGCCCCTGGACACAACAAGCTTCAGAAAGGGAAGATGCCTTCACTTCCCTGTTTGTTCTCCTATGACTGGAGGGAGACATTGAAGAACATACTATGTGTCGGATCCTGTGCTGTCTCTGGCAAAGACAGAGACACGCGTTCTGGGTTTGGGCCTGATTTTGTAGGTAGCATGTGCTCAGTATAATCTCTTGAGTCTTTTAGCCCAGATTTTACTCCTGGGAGTTTGTCCACATTCTGGGGCCTGTGTCACGTCCTCTTACCCACTCCAGCTCCTCCCTCAGAGGTGGCCTCTTTCGCCTGCCCTTTCTGTGACTACTCTGACTGTCAGCAAACATCTGCAGCTGATATGTGTGAAACCGTTGACCCACCCTACCTGCAGGAGCCAAGCAAGGGCTTGTCCGCCTAACCTAGTTCTGTCCTCAAAGAAGTCACCACGTATTTGTAAATAAAGACTTACCAGCACTGGTACACTTGCTGCAGTTTCTTTGGCCTTAGGATAAATGAAAAACATTATTATTTTTAAACTGATAGAAAGGGTTTCTATGTTTGAGATCACTAAAGTTACACTCCATCAACCCATTCATTTAATTACATAATTGTATTACCTAATATTACCAAATATTTAATGAACACAAATAGTAGGGGCAGAATGTTTGTGTTCCTCCTCCCCTCATTTTACATATTGAAATCTTAAACCCCACGGTGGTGGCTGTGGGGTCTTTACAAGGTAACAGGTCATGAGGGTGGGGCCTTCAAGAACAAAAAATAAGATTCCAGAGAGTTCCCCTCTCAGTTCACCACATGAGCGCAGAGTGAGAATACAGCCGTGAGAGCCAGGAAGTGTGCCCTCACGAGACACCAAGATGCCTGCATCTTGGACTTCCCAGGCACCAAAACTGTGAAAAATAAGATTTCTACTGTTCATCAACCACCTAGTCTATGTTATTTTGTTTTAGCAGCTCAAATGGGCTGAGACACATACTTTGTGCCCCAAATGTTGTTGGTTATAGCAATACAATAATGAACATATTAAAAACCACCACAGTTAAGACCTCATGGGTATATCTTAAAAGAAATGCCCTTATTTGTTGAAATGCAAATTAAAGAGCCTCCATATTATCATTAGAACTGTGAAATTGTTAGTCTTTCTAGTCATCTTAGATATGCAGAGGGCCTATACTAAAAATTGTGCCTGAAGTCATCATTATTAAGGGTTTTTTTAAAAAGATTCATTTATTTATGCAAACAGAACTGGGGTACAGGCAGAGGTATGGAGGGTGAGAGGATTCACCAGAGACAGAGAGGGGAGGAGAACAGACTGGCCGATGAAGTGCACTGCTGAGGGGAGCAGCGGGCATGCCGCACCATGTGGGTCACCTCCAGGGCCAGGGATTGAAGCCACACTGCAGTGGCTGCCGCTAGCTTGCAGTGCTGCGCTTTAACCCACTGTGCCACCAGTGAGGCCCTATTCAGGGTTTTCTTAAAGAAGCTGCCACCTATTAAAAAATGGCAGTTTCTCTAAAGCACTTGCAAACCTCAGCCTCTGGTTTACATGGTCACTGTCTCGGAGTGTGACACCACCTCTCCTATGTTGACCTGTTAGCTGCACTCCCATTGGAAACTCATCTTTTATATGGAAGGCTGTGTTTATATTGATATATTTGGATATACTTAGATTGGCATATTTGGATGCTCATTTATTCATGGGGTGAGTAGGACACCTTCCTGACATTCTTCTGGCTACCAAACAACAGAAGAACATAGCCGTTAATGTTTTAAAGTTACCTGAAATGATGCTTGTTATGCACAGCCCATAGAAACAGTAAAAAAAGTAACAGTAATAATGGAATTATTGTTCTTCTGTATCTCATCCTTCCTTGAGATGAAGAAGAAACAGATGAAAGTAGATTAAATAAAGCACGGTGTCTACAGAGTTAAGTGAGTAAGTAAGTAGGTAGTTCCTGCCTCTCCATGACTTGAACTAGATGATTTAATAATTTGGCCAGGATCAAAGGCCCCCTCTGGCACTTGGAGATCTCTGTAGAAAGTAGGATTGAGCCTCTAGAGATCCTGTATCACAGCTCGCTGCCCCAAATCTTTCCTGGCCTGGATGTAGGAGATCTTATAAACTTCACTGATCTTGTCTAAAGTACAAAGGCCTTTTCCTACAGAATGAAAAGCTCCAATGCCACCTCCCAGCTTAATTTATAGGGTGGGGGAAGGGAAGTAGAATCTGAGAAGAGAAAATTATGAAAATACTTGGACACCAAAGAGTATATAACTATGATGGAAATTTTAATTATTTTAAATTAAAGAATAATATAAAATCAATCTTTCTCAAAAAGGTGATAGGATTGATAATAGCATAAAATATGTCCCTTCTCAAAAGTATTTAAATATAAAATTAATTCAGAGCACTGACTAGAAGCTAAACTATGTACTTTTAGATTGTTTGTCCATTTCTTTTGGAATATTAGCCCTCAAATTTACAAAACATGTGATATTTGCAATGTCTGTGTGCAGAAAAGTATTGTATGTGGTTTGAGTTGATTGAAATAAAGGTCCAGCTCTTACCTTTTATCTTCCTAAGACCACACAAGAATTTTATGTGGCTTCATCCTTGGAGGTTTCACACTCATGGTTTGGGAAGAAATGTGAAGAATCTGAAGAGGGTAGACCGTTTTGAGACCTTTGAAAATCATAGGCCGTGTGGCTGAGTTGGTTCTGTGGCATTCTCCAGTTGGTGTGTTTACTAGTTCAGTCTGCTGTGAAGGATGATGTCACCAGATTCTATTTTGATGATGAAAGAATTAGATTTTTTTTTAATTTTTACAACAGTTTATTTTTACATCATTTTGTACATTTTGTTTTCCATCTCAATTGTAATCCCCGCAGGTTTCCCATCACCAAGTCACCCGTGTGCCATCACCGTAATCCCGTGCACTTCCCTCCCCCCCTGTTAGAATTAGATATTTTCTATCATAACAATTCATGTCCTAGTCTTTACCAGGGAACTAGATTCTGTCTCACTTAAAAAGAAGTAGGATTAGATTCCTTTTCTGTCTTGGCGACTTGTATTTACTTTTTAAAGTTCTATTTATCGACATAATGTTGATGTATATCAGAGTATGTTGGGGATTTTTAAAAATATGCTTGTAATTGAAGTATGACTTAGAGAAATTAAAACACATGCAGTTTAGGCCTCATGTTTGTGACATGTGTGTTCAACCAGTTTAATTAGGATCTAGCATGTTCCCATGATCATTTCTCTCATGACCTTTTGAGTCCCTGCCCTTCCCCATCCAGGAGTTTTGATTTCTATGACCAGAGCCAAGCTTTCACTGCTGTGGAACTTCATAAAAAGATTTGTACAGCACTATACATTGGGTCTAATTTTCTTACTCTCAGGCTCTATAAGTTGTCCAGGCTGTTTGTATTTTGCACCAGACAGTAAGTTTGTTCCAAATATATCGTAACCTTAGCATTAAAGCTAAAGCCTCATGCTTTTCCAGAAAAATGCTCTCTATTGGGAAGCCTTTAAACATCTCAGCCCACCTGATATAACTGAATCAGAATCTTTGGGATCAGAACCAAGCATCAGAATTTGCTCTCCAGGTAATTCCAGCATGAAACCAAGTTAGGCCTCCTGTATAGGAAAAGTCTTAACTGCAGCAATCAAGCCTGCCCGGCCAGTGGCCTCTCTGACCAGCCATATCTGCAGAGTGCAGGGTGTGTGGAGTAGACTATGTACAGCAGAGCCCCCCGAATTCCAGAGCAAGAAAAGGCCATTGATGGTTAAATGTTCCATATAGTTAGTGAACAGGAGTTACAATAGTCTTTTCCTTCTTTGTCTCTTACTATCAAGTCTCATGTGTTGGGTATGAGCTAAACTGACCATTTATTTCATAGACTGAACATTAGTCAAATAAGTTCTCTAAGGGACCAAAGGAGAAGCAATTGATAGCTGAAATAGTAGGCTAGAGGTACTTGGGGCTGGGTCATACTGGCAGACCTCAGGGGAAGTTCACAATATTCACATGCTAAGCCCTTGAACTTCTCTGGCTCTTGCTCATGGATCAGGTCGTAGTGATGTGGTGACTTAGTTTCCGACAATCAACTCCTAAAAAAGAAATATGGGCAGCAAAGAGAGCCCTTACTTCTGGTGTTGCTGATCCCCAATGTGTAAATTCCTCCACCCTGGCTGATACCCAGCCACCACAGTACAGGGATTTGGGGAGTGCTGTCTCCAGGCTCTCAGAAGTAGGCATGAGCCAGTTTGACGTGACACCTTTGTCTGGTTAAGTCGCCCTTGGATTCAGCAGCACTCTCTAGTAACCTCCCAACAACCTCCCTTTCGGGTTGAGACAGCTCCGAGGGGCCATTTAATCCTTGCAACCAAAATAGCTTAAACTAAAACACTGAGATAGCTTAGCCACCTGAAGGACAGGCCTTCGTAAGACTCTGCAGGCAGACAATACACTTTGATCACTCCCTTATCTACTTAAGAGAATGAAAATTGGGGGAATTTCCTAGAATTTGGATTTTTAGCAGAAATAAACTTTCCATTGGAGAAACCTGTCCCTGCTCTGTCTGCCCCTTGTCAGTTTCACCCTAAAGCTGACTTTCCTTGTCCCCAGCAGTGAGAGCAGCTCACAGTATTATGTACTTTCCAGTAGTCTTGTGATTCACTGTGATTTAGTTTAGGTCACCTGCCCAGCCCTCCCCTGAATCGGTCATGGCCACCAAGTGGGCATGGGAGTGCTGGCTGGACTAGCCTGGATCTCTTGCTCCAACCTTGGCACGGTTTCTGCAAAGCCGTGTGGACCACCTGGACAACCCAGGGGCCTCTGGGAAGGAAGGCAGAGCCTGTTTGCTGGATGACGGGGGAGTGCCAGACCTCCCCAGTACTCACAGGTTCTGTGGTGCTGGTCACACAGGGGCCACCAGGCGGCCCCATCCTGGCCCAGCTCGGCACCAGTCTCCTCACCACAGTCTTCTGAAGCATTTCCTCTACTTTTCCTCCCACGGAGCACTCTTTCCACCTCATCCTCACAGCGATCCCCATCTTTTCTTTCAAAGCTCCATTCAGAGTCAGCAGCGCCTATGCTATTTTACCTCCCCATATTCACTTAGTCCTCAAGCTTCCCTGTGCCTATATCCCTCTGGAGTTGGGGTCTGCTTCTCCAGTTTGGCTGCACGATGCTTTAGTTTGGCATTCTGCCTTTGAAGGGTTTGGGGGCAACTAAGTTCTCTCTCTTTGATGCCTGATGGAGAGCTTCAGTGGTGACCCCTCTGGTGTCCTCACATTTCAAAATCAAAATGATTGAAGTATGTGTATATACACGCCCACATGTGAGAAAGAGGAAGGGAAGCAGACTGGAGCTGGGCAAGAGCAAAGGTTTGGGGCCAGGCAGTGCTGGGGTGGAACTGTAGCTCTACATCCTTTTAGAGCTGAGGCCATCACCAGCGGATTCTCCACTTACTGCTGTTTTCTTAAAAACAAGTAGGCCTTGTATGTTATGCACTCCATCTTTTTACGATTCACTCTCGTGAGTATGCCATCATGCTGGTATTACCCACTCCATAATAGCTTCAATAAACAGCAAGAGTAATGAATACTAGTAGCTCTGAGTGTCACCACGGCTGGGGTTCCCTTGTTAGTAAGTCAGACGGGCCAGAGAAAGTAAAGATGTTTCACATCTCCCACCCCCCCACGCCCCGCAAAAATCCATTCTAACAATCTTACTACATCTGGGGTAGGTTTAGTGCATAAGAAGTGGAAACTAATGCAGGTCTGGGAACATTTAGTTTTTAAAATAAGTGTTCATTATAGCAAAAATGCCCACTAGAAGGTTCTTCTATCAAGTTGCATTTGTCTCGCTCTGAATGACCCTTCCGTCTCTGCACGGTATTGGGTATTGATGTGGGTCTGCTAATCCTAGGCGCTTCGCCAGCCTCCATTTTATTACCTACAGTTCTGTATTCCTAAAGCAAGGTCAGAACTGCCTGGTCATAGGAGCCCAACCCTGCGAGGCTCCGTTCACATCAATTACGAGCATAAAGCTGGATCACCCTGGAAGGGTCTGCATCACGAGGTATGACTGGGAACACCCGGGGGTGCTGAGGACGGATGCATAAACTTACTCCTGACTTACACATCATGAAGTATGACCAGGAATGCCCAGGCAACTGTTGACTAATGTATAATGAAGGACACCCCCCTACCCCCCCAGCCCCCGCCGCCAAGCTTATCAGCGGAATGCCTTATTGATACTATTGAAATCCTGACTGTGGGGTCAGGGCTGGATCCACATACCAAGCTGTCAGCAGATGAGAATTACAGTTCCACCTTCCCCTGCTTCTTCTGCTTCTCCCTCTCTTTTCCTACTTCCTCCTATGACTAACGCTGTGTGACTGGTTTGTCAATAAAGGCCAGGACCTTGCTCTTGAGCAGTGTCTTGCATTATGTCACCTGCTCCATGACTCTCGTTTCTTTATCAGTGTGGTGTAGCCCGACACAACATATTGACTCGCTTCTCCTGTCAGCTTCCCAGCTGTGAGCCTCAGCTCAGCCACTTCCCAGCTGCGGGCTTAATCTCTCTGAACCTCACCTTGCTCATCTGTCCAATGTAAAGGCACACTCTGTTTATATCCAGTGCATTGCATCCGCCTGCCACCTTTCCTTGTAGTATTTATGACCAACACACCTGCTGGACATCCAGACTTGCTGGACAGCTGCCTTTAGCGGGGTCAGGACTGGTAAACCCCAGCTACTCCAGGGCATCACTGCCCGCCGTGGCCTACCTGGCTTTGGGACAAGCCTTTTTCTGCCGCCTCTTCCACTGGACAGCATCACTTTGGAAAGCTCTCTGTAAGCACTGGTTGTTTTACAGGTTTTGGAATCTCAACTATATTCTTTCTCTCTTTGCAACAGTAGACACTTTCAGGAGGGTACCAGGACTTTTTTGACATGCGAGATTTTCAAGTTCTATCGGCAGCATTTCTCAACATCTTTGGGAGAAATGCACACAATCCATGACCAGAACCAGAATATACTGAGAAAATAATTTATTCGATTGTAAATCAGGAATTTTATTTTTTAGATGTTTAAGAATAACTGTGAATCAGCTCTTGTGTTTGTCCATTTAGAATTTAAATTTAAATGAATGAAAAAAATCAAGAGTCCTTCAAAAGTAAATGCCAACACTTTTTGCTAATATTATAGAACTGATCATTTCTTTGGTTCGGAACTTAAACCACGAATTCTCCCTGCTCCAGGGCAGGCCCAGAAAACCTGTGTCTATTATAGAGGAACAAGAGTACTAACTGATGTAGTTGGTCTCTGCTTTTCTTTCCCAAAGTCCATTTCTTCAGGATTTTTGTTCATTGTGTTTTATTTGCTGGGTTGTCAGATTTTTTGGCAAGAATTGAAGAGTGGGAGGCACTGTGAGATGGAAGAGAAAATGCAGGTTCCACTTTACAGAAGAAGCCCTGGTGCTACACAGTGTGATAGCTCTTTTGACAAATCATTTGGGAATGGAAGCCAGTGACCTAACCTGGAACACAAAGTAGATAGAAAGATACTTGCAAATGCAAATGAGGCCCCCTGACTGCCTTCCCAGCCCTTTGCTTAGCTTTAAAGAGCATGTAGGTGACACAGCTTCCCTTAGAGAAAGGAACTGAATGTTTGCTGTTCCATTGAGGACTTGGTGTCCATGGCCAGCCCCTCAGTCTGCAAGAAAGTCAGTCAGCCACTGATTACAGGTGTCTGGTTGTTCGGCTTCTGTGGTGCAGAGGGGCAGCAGAAAACAAGAGGCTACTTGTAGGAGGGCTTTTCCTCTAGTCCATTCCTTGACACCAGCCTTCCAGGTGGGGCAGGATGCGCTGAGATCCTGAGAGAGCAGGTGGCAGGACTTGCTGACCACCGATCAGCGCAGGTCAGGGTGACTGAGCACCAGGAAGCCCAGGTTGGAAATTTTACCTCCTCATGAGCCTCTTCAACCCACTGCATGCCTTATCCGTCGGGCACACATCCGCGTTCTCTGGTCAAGGACCTGAAGATACAGCAAGAGCCTGCACACTGAGTATGAGCAGGAGAACGAGAAGCATCTTTTATTCAGGTCCCAGGTCTTCTGGTAGTCACAGGCCTGAGAAAGCTGGAGCTCACCCATGCTGCCTCCCATTCAGCTTCTGGATCCACAATGCCCTTAAGTGCCAACTCCACGTCCTGTGCCCCTCCAAGGTAGCACTACCCCCAGAGAACAGCCTCCTCCTCCACTGTTCTTTGTGATTTCATGGCCAACTCGTTTTGAGGCGTTTTCACATCACCCTGAGCAACTGCTGGCGCATTCAGTATCCCTGCCACTCCGAGCACTTACTCCATTGGGAATCTCAACCAGCTTTCCATAGAAGCCAAACAACACCCCACTGGGAAAAGGACATGAGCTGTAAGTGGCCTGGAACCAGCAATCCGCCTTGGAAACCAGCCGAGGATCACCAGGGTAGGCTGTGTCCCAGTGTGTCCCAGGCTGCGGCAGCTCTCTGTGGCTTTGGTCTCAGCAGAGACCGGAAGGTGTTGAAACCGGGGGCTATCCCCCACCATCATCTCTTGTTGCCAAAGACTTCCCCAGCACCCTTTCCCCCAGTACATTATCTAGCACATGAAGGCTACTTCCGGCTTTGTCTTTGCCTGCAACAAATTTATCATTATTTTGGGGGGGGGGGAGTTTAGCTGAAAGTATCCCCCCCAAACGCCTACCATTCTTTCTCCATGCTACAAGCCTTGAAGTTAAAAGGAGGAAAAGGATGTGCATGTTTTGTTAGTATTTTTTTTAAGAGTCACAATTAAGTGTTACTTTTCTGAGGAAGTAGCCAGAATAATACTCTCCAATTCAGAAGCCCAGCCTGTTTAAGGAGGAGTATCCTCCTCCAGAGGTGTTTTTCGTGTGGCACCATGAAAAGTCAGATGTTATTTCTAACCAAACTGTACTCTTTCGTCTGCCAAGATATCTTCACAATCCTAATATCTGAAGGCAGGCCTATATGATAGTCCCAGCAATATTCTGGGGATAAGATTTTAGTGGGTTTGTTGAGAAGGAAATACTTGTTTAGATGACTTTCATCGTGCCACTCGGCCTCTATGTCATTTTTCTTGTCCTGGAGGATTCCTTTGTAGCACTCCCGTGTGATATTTAAGACCTGATTGGGGGTTCCTCCAAAAATGGCGGCATGGTAATAGAAGTCCCCCTTGCCAAAGGGGATGTAGGCGGCAGACTCCTTCCGCCTCTCATAGGTGAACTCATCCGGGTCGGCCTTGTACCACCAAGCCTGCAGCTGAGCCACCGACTGGCCCAGGGTCTCCACCCCAAAGCTGTCTTGGAAGACTTGGTCCACGTCCATGCAGAAGAGGAAGTCCACTTCGTGCTGGATGTGGGTGACGATGTGCTCCCCGATGGTCTTCATGCGCATCATGCTGATGTCCTGCCACCTCTTCTCCGGCTTGACCTCAAACACTTTGAAGGACCGCAGGGGACTCAGCTCTATCAAAGGCATCCTGGAGACATCGTCCACCATGATGTAAAATATGACTTTGTGGCCAACCATGAAGAATCTATTGGCAGATGTTAAAAACTCCTCCAAGTAATGCTCAATGTACCTGAAACAAAGACAATTGGGAGAAATGTAATCTCTGGGATTTCTGCAGGAGAACACGTGCTGTTCACCACGCCTGTGCTTTGCAGTGTTCATGAGGGACGACTTCCGCCTCCCGCATGCCTTTCTCAGATGGAGGGGCGGCTGTTGCTGCAACTGCTCTGACGGCCTTCCACCTCTCAGCCGCTGCGGAACCTTGGGAAAGGGCACTTGTCCGACTGCCAGTTTGGGGAGGACAACTGAACACGTGAGATCCTGCCCCCAGCGCTCCTCTGGTTCCCGGGAGCCAGTGGGAGTGAGCCACATCTGGGGTGGGCAGTGCCCAGCGCCTTGGGTGCCTGAGTCTTTCTGTGGTTAAAGTAAGGAGGCCTCCTGCCTGCAGTGTAAACCACCTTTTCGGGAGCAGCTTTAACTGTCGCGCAGGTGATACCTACTGTCATCTGCCGTACTTAGCCTTTTGCCTTATGTAGGTTGGTGCAAACTTTGGGCAGGTAAAGAGGGTGCTAGTTCTCTTCCTCCAACTGAGATAGAAGTGACACCTCTTAGTGCACTATTTAAGGTAGGGTGTGTTGGTTTGCCACACATATATTGCAAGATGATTAGTGGAAGCTAATCCCTCCATCCGCACAATTCCCTTTTTGACTTTGTGGTGAGAATATTAAAGATGTACTCTCTTAAAAACTTTCAGAAGATACACAGCTGTCGTCTGGACTCCTATGCTGCTGAACATCAGGCCTCTGAACTTAGCTTGCAACTGAAAGTTTGTGCCCTTTGACCAACACCAGGGGGCGATCATGAGCCTCCCTCAAAAACCCCAAGCTACACCCCAACATTGCCACTGCCTGTCCTGTTAGATGCAGATGTGCAGTGAACCTCAGTCCTTTTGGGGGGGTGCTTTAAGCCTAGTCATTGCCACTTTCTTGTTCTCTGAGACTCAGGGTTACAGGTAGCCTTCCCCGTCACATACTTACTGGGTGGGCCTCACCTCAACACCAGCTCATGGTCTGGATACCCCCATTGTAAGGCCCACTCAAATACTAGAGTAAACAACTTCAGATTGAACTTTAACATTTTCCTTTCTCTTAAAAAAACCAACTTGTGTTTTATAGTATTTTGGGTTCACAGCAAAATTAAATCAAAACTAGTGTTCCCATTTACCTCTCTAACTCTCCACCCCCAACACACTGCCTCCCCCACTATCAACACTGCACCCCAGTGGTACATTTGCTACAGCTGGTGAACCTGTGAGGCTACATCAACATCACCCACCCACCCACCGCCCACAGTTCACATTCGGGCTCACTCTTTGGTGTCCTACGTTCAGTGAGTTTGTCTTGATCATTGTCGTGTTTTACATATTATTTTCACTGCCCTGCAGAACTCTCATGCGCTGCCTGTTCACCCATATGCGCCCTCCCACCTCTGGTAACTGACCTTTTTGCTGTCTCTACATAGCTGGTAACCATAGAACACAGAGCCAGTTCTCACTGGCTTCTTTCACTGAGTTTCCTGTATTTATGCTTCCTCCAGGTCTTTTCAGTGCTCAATAGCTCATTTCTTTTTAGTGATGATAATATTTCACTGTTAAGATGAAACCCAGATTATTTATCCATTTACCTACTGAAGCGTATCTTGCTTGCTTCCAAGTCTTGGCAGTTAGGAATACATCTGCTATAAACACCCATGTGCAGGTTTTTGTGTGGACATAATGTTGCTGACTCCTTTGGGTCAGTACCATGGTTGCTGGATCATATTGGTAGGAGTATGTGCAATTTCGGAAGGAAGCTGTCTTTCCAAGTGGCTGTAGTTTTGCGTTCCCACCAACAAGGAACAAGAGTTCCTGTTGCTCCATAGTTTCTCTAGTATTCATTTGGTGGTGTAAGTGTTTTGGAATTGGACCATTTTAATAGGTGTTTGGTGGTATTTTAGCTATATATCGATTCATTCAAAAAACATCGAATCAATGTCTTTGGTAACCCAAGCTACATCTATCTTGTGAAGACTTGGAGATCACAGACAAGTGGAAGGAACAGTGAGGTGGATTAACCTGCCTCCGACAAATCCCACATTCATGCTCACAGAATGTGGGCTGAGTTTCAGTGGCTGATCACACTACCGGCCAATCATGATGTTTGTGAGTAATGATAATTGGTACTTCTTTTTGCTTTTTTTGTTCTTCTTGGATTCTCTTTCTTTACTACCAGAATAAAGTATGCTTTTAACACTGGCCTCTGGAAACCCAAGGATTTATAATATAGATTCTTTAAATGGAGAGAATATATCCAAGCAACATAAAGAGAGACTTGGACATGGCTGTGTGGCTGGTGGCCAGGAAATGCTTTGGTACTTTGGAACATTAGGAAAAATCTCTTGTGCCCTGAAGCTTGGCGGACAGTCTGGGAAGAGAAGGAGTCATTGTGAGGTTGAACCTTGTAGGGGGTTTAAAGCACTGGAGCTGTTTTCATACATTGTTATTGGAAATCAGACCCGACATCTCACCTCCTAAAAGTCAAAATCCACCCGAGAGGATTTATTGCTGCTGAATACAAACAGTCCTCTCTTGCCTGAGATGGAAAGCACAGGGCTTTCACAGGGATGCACGATTTACAGTTTCATTCTGGGGAATTGTAACTGGAAGGGCTGAGGCCACCAGCATGGGGCCGGGGGTTGGGGGAGGGGGAGGGCACTTCTGTTCTCTTTGGAAACACCACACCAGGAGTGGCAGCGTGGCCGCCCCCACCAGATGAGCTGAGCAGTAGCTCCTAACTCCTCATGGTACAGAATCTACTAGTAGGAACATCACAACTCTAGACTCCCCCTTCTCTATGGAGAAGCCACCCCGGCCCCTAGGATCAGCACAGTGACATTAAGAAGTAAGTAATATGGTGACACTGAGGGCTGGAGCTGGGTCCTGGATGGGAGATGGTCTGGGGAGAACTTTAGATCTTCAGAGATCACTCCCTTAGTCCCTGACCTTCACCTGTGCAGCTCAGGTACACGTCAACCTGGGCCTCCGACTCTTTTTGCACATGACAAAGGAAACAGTGTAAACTTACCATGTCATTTCAGAAAAGGTACAGCTGGAAAGGTCCACGAGGGACAGAAAGTTGAGCTTTTGTTTTGGTTCTGAGAAAATAATTTCTCCCAAAGGGCAAAGTGAATTTCATTTTAAAACTAATATTACTGCTACTTTCACTAAGAATGACTGCAGCCTGGGGAGAAGCGCTCTGAACCAAGAAGTAGAAGCTGAAATAGGACCCTAGCTGACCTCTGGAAGACGAACTTCTGGTCAGCCAAATATTAGGGCCAAATCCTCCAGAAGAGAGGGTAGGAGACCTGAGGAACCTGAGGTATCTGGTCGGCCATGGCCCAACCTGGGAAACCCCTGTTCCAGGGTCACCTTGCACCCAGAGCTTGTCTTGAGAGCACAGATCATGGAGTGACACACAGCTGGGTCATCAAACAACTGGTCTTTGGGGATCTTCCAGAGAAGCCATGGAGGTCAGGTAGGGGCTGGTGCGGACACTCTACCTCCAGGATTCTGGGCCCCGGGCTTCTTGGGTGGAGCCCACATTTTTACCTACAACCCAAGATGCTCGCTTTGTGTAAGGAGGGAGTCATTTTGTTCTTAGTCTTTTTGAGACTCAGTAGAAATGGGACCCAAACGGTCCCATGATAACAGGCTGCTGCTGCCTTATAATCCAGACAACTCATGAACAGCCTCACAAACATGGTGACTGTGGAACAGGAAACAGTCCAGGCCAGTTTTATGGGGGACACCTACCTTCCAATCGCAAAGACCGTCAAGCCCACAGTAATTTTCTGTTTGGCATAATGATGTTCTAAGATGGCTCTGTTGTAAGTGCCTTCCCACACAACTGGTGCCTTCCATCTGGTCACTGTTACAACCTCCGGGCGCTTCCTGATGACAAAACATGGAGCCCTGTGAGTCGCGATGTCTCTGGTGAGGGGGCAGAGACTGGGAAGATGGGGTCACAGATTTGGGGCTACTGTCTTTACATCCTGACCGTAGCAGCTTAACCCTAAGTAGTGTGGCTTGGTTCATCTGCGGTCCCTCCCTCCCTAGAGCTGGGGGTGGTGCCTCCCCAAATCTCACACGAACAATCCACCTATGTCTCTCATCGCCTAGGAAACTTCAAGGGCGTTAGGAGACGTGTGCAGAAATGGGGACAGAGATGGGGTATATATTCCTTGTATAAGTCCCAGTACCACAGCCTCTGAGGGCTGTCTTGGGGGGCCTCAAAGCTCTTGCCTGCATTCTTATACTTTCTGTCCCCCTTTTCTTGCTTTCTTTTTCCTTTTAAACCCCTTATCTCTCCAGCCCCTCCCAAGCTACCAGTGGCTTCTCTGGGAGCTGTGTGTCTCTGTGGCTGCGCTGTGAGCCTAAGAAGGCCTTAGTCCTTGACACGGGGGGCTGAGAGCGACATTAGGCTACAGAGGAAAAACCTGTTACAATTTGCCTTTTGCCAGAAAGTGATTTCTAAGTAGAAACCTGGTTATGGGCCAAAGAGAGCCCCAGCTAAGGGGGTCTTGGTGTTACTTATTTTACCAAGAAGGAGAAACACTCACCCAGTGATGACTGGACAGAGGCCCACAGAGGCCAGGGCCAGACATGGGGCTCTGGCAACAGCCCAGACCCTCTCCTCACACCACTGGTTCCTTAACTGGAACCCAAGGGGTACGGGTAGTGGGGGGAGGCCCGTCCTGAGAACCAGGGTGCTTGGAAAGGACTCAGCAAAGACAACACAGACACAGAGCAGCAAGCGCATGGACAGCTGCAACCTGCAGAGGGCACCTCTGAAGGCCGTGACCCCCGGGCTGGGCGAGGGCGGGAGTGGCAGAAAGGGGTGGAGGTGCTCGCCCACCTCCCTGGGCTCGGGAAAATGGGATGCAGAGATAGAAACAGCATTCAAACCAGGTGCCAATGCTCCTTCTCCCCCATAGGAAAAGCAATATTCAGAAAGGCTGTTCCCTCGGCCAGGGCCACACCGCAGACAGCTGATGATGGTCCTGCGGGCCAGGCGCTGTGCTAAGAGCTTCAATCTTCAGAGACGGGTGCCATTCTGACCCCAAGTGATCAGTGAGAAAACCATCGTGCAGAGAGGTTAAGTCACCTGGCCGAGGTTGCACAGCCAGTAAGTGGCAAAGGTGGGATCTGAGTCCAGATGACCCGACTCTGCAGTCCGAACTGAGAGCCATCAGCCGGTATCACTTCTGTGGACATTTACTCGCTCTGCTGAGGAAGCTGGGAGCTGTCAGCGTTTCCCCTCAGCTTAGCTACTTAGATTTTGGTAGCAATGCAAAATGAGCAATGACGAGGGTTATTTTGGTTTGTTTTTAGAAGCTTATGTGATGCTTTAGTCGCATAAAACCTCCAGCTTTGTTGAATGACAGGATTTCAAACTGAAATACACAAACACACTCACACACACGCTCGCACATACTCACAGCTTATTCTTCTATACCAACCCTCACTCACAGCAGTCCTGAGTTTTAGCACACAGGGATCTTCTAGTAGTTGTGACCCAGCCTGCTAGCTAAGTCCTGCAGCTGCACGTTGGGTAAACAGGTAAAACTATTTGAAAAATAAAAAAGGAAAAAATGGAAGGAGCGGGTGTACTTATTAATATTTGCAGTGCAGAGTGTCATTCTCCTTTACTCCTCAACCACCTTAAACACTGGGGGCGAGGAGAGGTGTGAGGGTCTTTAGCCACCTATTTTACAGGAAGGGCCAGACCTGGGCGCTCAGTCCCTCCACGCACATTTCCCAAGCCCCTGCTGGGACTCAGGCCCGGAGCTAAACTTGGAGATCAGAGAAAAGAAACCCCACCCAGCTCTGTACCTCCCAAAGTCCTAACAGGTGGTTAGCCTGCTACACAAACAGTGGATCCAAAATCATCTAGAAAGATCGAATTATAAAAGCATTGTCCAGTTTGGCTACTTGTCTGGGAAGATTCCTTCTCTCGGAAAAAAGAAAAGAGGAGCAATATTAAAGATGAATGTCTCATTAAAAATTAAAATGTTCTTTTTCCCAGCTGTTAATTATTAAACTGCACTGACAATTCCAAAATGTCAGTGACCTTAAGGAGTCAGACCATAGTCTAAAACCTCATGTAGTGGAGAGAGCAGGAAAGCTGAGGGGGAGATCGGCTACCTGGATGAACCTTTATTTAAACCCCCCAGAATCACAGAAGTGATGGTGGCAGGCCACACACGTACAAAAGCCAGCCCCACCAGGGTCAACTGCCTGGGATGCTCAAGGTCACTGCATGGGCGACTTAAGGAGGAAGAAGTGCCAGGAAAGACTCAGAGCTGCCCAAACACCTACCTTCTCTGCGAGGTACCTACTGTGGCACATGAACTTGTAGTGTTGCCAGCAGAGACCAAAGACATCACACAAAGTAAAAGGGCCTCCAGAACCCCGGCACACACCTACCTATGTTATTGGCAGCCTTTAAGTTGTATGTATTTGGTTTTTCTTACACTGTAGGACCCAAGGGTGGGGCAGAGGAAGTGTTAAAAATCTATGAATCATGCAAGGCCGAAAAAGACACGGAATGACACTGAGTATAGGGACTGACCCACTGGGAAGGGCAGCCAGCTAGACGGAGACCCTAGGGAGAGCAGAGGTAAATTGAACGAGGATGGCGGCCATGGAATGGAGGGGCGGAGAGGATGTGGGGAGAATTTCAGAGAAATGAGCAGAACGTGTGATTGGACTAGTAGATAGGGAGAGGTCTCTGGGATACTGGCTGGAGAGCGAAATGAGAAGTAGGGTGCAATCAAGAAATGCACTGGGTCGCATGACACCTGGATAGAAGACAGGGCTCAGAGGAGACACTGGGCAAAAAATATTAACATGAGGGTCATTCCCACCCAGATGGCGCCTGATGCCATGGCAGTGGATGATGACCCCTAGAAGATGGGGCCTAAAGGACACCAGGATGCGGGACCACAGAAACCCTACCGATGGGAGACTGGGAAGAGGAAGCGGCCCCTTCTCAGAGGCTGAGTAGGGAGAATGGAAAAGTCGGGGGGAAACTAAGAGGATATGGTGTTACAGAAGCTAAGCGATCTTGATGTGAAAATGGGTCCACAATATGCTGTAATATTTTCGGTTGTTCAAAGGAACTTGTTTACATAAACACTTGGATAAACATTTACACAGACATTTCTTGTTTGTTCATCCGGACACTCATCAAAGCATTCATTAATGCCAGAACAGGCTGAGATGGCTTCCAGTTGTTGCCACAGCAAACCAATATTTTTTGACTATCAGTTCGCCATTCTTTTGTCTGTCCTTGCTATCCCCATAATTCAGTTCTCACCTTGACTCCCAAGTCCTGCTCATCAGGTACATGTGGCACACCCTTGTGTGCACCTGGGGAGCTTCCCTGGCTCAGCTAGTCCGCCCCTTGGGGGTGTCTCACCTACCACATGTACACATGTGACAACATGTGTCACAGCGACAGTGCTCCCTCATGTTCATATTCTAGCTCTGGCTCAGCCCTCAGTGCTGGCTGCCCTGATGTTCAGCTCATCAAAGACATGCAAGGGCCCCATTCCATGTTTCCGTGCTGGTGTGGGTTCCCTATCCCAAAACAGTGAAAGGACTTGCCAGAACGTACTCAGTCTTTCCAGAAGCCAAGGTCCTTCCGATGGGTAGTTGCTATTTCTCTCCTGACCCTCCTCTTTCTGTAGCTATTCCAGCAACTTTGAGACTCTCTTCTTTCACCAGCCCTTTCACTGCCAGCGTCAGACAGGATCAGGTTCTATCCTTCGACAGCCTAGGTGGCTTCATCAGGCCCAGTACTCTGGATGGCCTTCATCCGTGTGTCCCCACATCTCTGCTGCTGAGCTCATGGGCACTAGAAATGCCTCAAATTTCATAGCTGAAATCAAATCCTCCATGTGCTAGAATTTGGAATTGTGCCTGTGGGGGGTGATTAGGTCATGAGGCTAGGGCCCTCATGGATGGGATTAGTGCCCTTACAAGACAGATCCCAGATTGCTTCTCACCCATTTTTCCACATGAGGGAAAGATGGCCTCATCAGATGTCAAATCAGTTGGTGCTGATCATGGAGTCCTCTGCTTCCAGAATTGGGAGACATAAGCTTCTTTAGTTCATAAGCCATACAGTCTGTGGTATTTTGTCACTGCAGTTGGAATCTACTAACACCAGCACCTTGTGGATCTCTGACTGGATGCCCTACCAGCATCTGAATACATGTCCGTCACCTCCCTCAAGTCCCAGACCTGCATCCCCTCCTCAGTCCCTATTCTGGGCGGGGGCGCCCCCACCGCAGGTCTCTTGGACCTCAGGGTCACCTTCTGACCTCCCAGACCATGTCCTTCTAAGTCAGACTGATCATAGCTCAATATCCATCCTGGTCAGATTAGTGTCAACCTACCACCTCTGTAAGACTGAGTCTGTGGAATAAAGTCACAGTGGTAGAGTTCGCCTCTTCCTGTGACTCACACCGTGCCTAGTACATGCCTAGTTTTGATCACAACTCACAATGAAAAATACATTTCATATCACAACCAAGTATGTGCACAGCCACTTAGCTACAGACACAGAAACTCCACAGCACAATCTTTATCCTTCATGTGGTGGCTGCTGACATTCTGTTCAATTTCAGTTTCTCTAAAGTTGGTTTTGAACTGTTTAGTTTCTGAATATATTAATAGGTAGCAGCCCTATTTGAAAAGTGTCTGGCAGACATTCATTGCCATTTTACAGAGGAGTTAACTGGGAACAAAGTTAACTGCTCTGACTTAGATGTGTAACAGAGACGTTGCCGTTAAAAGGGGGGGCTCCCCTTAACGATGGGTGGCGCTGAGTGTCCAGGTAAAGCTACATCCATAGGAGGCAGGTATGCTCAAGGAGACACATTGAAAAGGGCTCACTGCTTTTCAGCTTTGGACTTTCACCAAGGACTTGGTGGATGTGGAGGAGAGACAGAGAGACATGCAGAGACCCTTGGAAGAGACACGTGGTTGAGAGACCCAGGGAGAGGCTGACAGTTGTACGTGGGTTTTTGTCTCTTTCATCCCAGAATTGCCTGGCCCCTCCAATAGGGTTCCCTGCCGGAAGATGCCTTAGACTTATGGCGAGCTTTTGGACAGTACCCTGCCTTGGGCCAACTCTGTTTGGCTGGGCACTTACCCGTAAGGGGAGGGGTGACTTTGGGCATTTCATTGGGAAACTTTCCTTTCTCCACTTCTCTTTTGATGCACACTAATTCTATGAAAATTCTTTTACATTAACAGTAAAAGTATTGTCTTTCTGCACACAGGTGACCAGACTCCTTTAAATGTGCAAGCTTGGAGGTGTCAGGGTCGCCCTTGATCTGTGCACTAACAAAAGTTTGCTAACCCTGACCTAGAGTAACTGAAGTTTGTTTTTCTCTGTGAACAAGCGGTCTAGCCTTACAGCTTGACATTTAGTGAGAAGCAGAAGTCAGGAAGACAGCTGTCCTGGGTGGGGACTGCCCAGACATCTTAGCTGTGGGACCCTTAGCACTTGATTGCACCTCGCTGAGCTGTGTCTTTGCAGGCTAGAGACAATTCCTGCCTGGCAGAAGTGGGGTGCCCCTCTATCTGTGCACTAACAGATGCTTTGCACCATCCCCCATGGCCTGCAAGATCCCTGTCAGCCTCAGTATTTTGATTCTTCTGCTATTGCACTCTCACAACTGAGTCTATCCAACTGGCCGGTCTATTTCTCATCAAATCTGGTGTCAAAGGTCTAATGGGTGCCGAGGCACTTTCTCTCCAGCCTGATAATCTCAGCGGCTTCCTGCTGAGCTATGGCTGGACTGAAGGGGCGAGACTACATCTCTTACTGTGGGTTAAACCAGTCTGATAGTTGAAGCTCTTCGTCATCTTCCAGTTGTTCTTCCTTTTCGTCTGTGTCTTCTTCTCCTTCTTGGTAATTGTGGGTCCTGTGTGGAAAGGAAAGTACTCTGAGTGAGGCAGGAACCTGAGTGAGGAGGGGGAACCTGGCATTGCTGTTGGTGAATTTCTCCTGACATTGCCACTGGAGGCTGAGGACGTGTGCACCAAGCAGATGGCTGGAAGGGTTCCTGAGATGAACCCCTTATTCATAATACATGCCTGTGTTGGCAGACACTACCTGGCTCTCCTTTCTTAGTACCCTTCTAAGTGAGCCTCATCAGTCATCTAATGACCAGCGCCCCTTATTTTAGCAGGAGGGGAAGCCTAATGAGACAGTCCTCACCAAGAGCTTAGTTTATAATAATCTTTCCTGTCACTTTCCTGTCTGAGCTGCATTCACCCCAAGTTAAATGGAAAAAACAGACATAATTAAGTGGCCTCCTACCAACCACAAAATAGATCCCTTGTAGGCTTGGAGTGAGCCAGGAAGACCAGTAGCCGAGAAGGTCATGGCCATGGACCTGTTGATTTGGACCTTCTCTGAGTGTGAGTGGGTGGACAGACACTTCCGTGTCCCAACCTTACCCATTGTTAAACCAGCTTGGAAACCACCAGCCCTTCTGGATGCTGCTGTCACCAACTTCTGGGCTTCTAAGAAACAGAGATCACAAATGTTTTTAGAAAATGAGGCAGTCCCTAACTCGGGGGGATTTCCAAATTCTTTCTATGACAGGAGATCATTGAAACTGTTTTATTTTTTTAATCTGAAGAGATGTGAGCCTAGGTGCCCAAATCATATACAGTTCTGTAAGCCAGTGTGACCATGATAAAAATGATACACACATACAGAGGGTAGAGAGACCAAGGGGATACATAAAACAAGTCTTTCCAAAACTGCAAATTAATAAGACAGAAGAAGGGGCTACTCTAACTGGGTGAGTGGCCTGCACTGATTCTCTCCAGGCTTCCCCTACTTTGGGCGGCCTCCAGACTCAGCTCGTCATTCAGCCAGAAGGAGAGAAAAACAGTGATGGGGGTGGCGTTAGTACAGGAGTCCCAGTGTGCCACTTACTACTTCCCTGAGTCTTACCTGAAGGAATAACAACAGTGAGTAACAATAAGATGATGAAGATAATGATACATTGCCGTGAAGGTAGTTTTGAAAACGAAGTGAAATCACATACATACAAAAGCATTGTATGTTGAAATGACGGTAACACTTGCACATTTCCCAGGATGATTGCTCTTGCTAACTTGGGCAAATTCAGGTTGCTGCCAAGGAGGTCAGTGGCAGCTGCAGGAAACTCGAGGCGCCCTGAATCAGAAGTTCAGGGAACTAATCAAAGCCTCCAGTGGAAGTTTCCCCACTCCTCATGGGAAAGAGAGGAGGCTGCAGGGTACAGTCCCTTGGGCTGGACAAAGAAGGCGGGGAGGAGTGGACAGATACACTGATCCTAAGAAACCCATTTGAAAGTCCATTCAGAAAGTGTTTGATGTGCTCGTGATGATGAAGATGCGCTTCAAACAACCGGAAACAATGCAAGGAATTTTTCGAAGGGGGCCGGGGACAGGGAGCGACCTTTGTGTGGCTCCCAGGTTGGCCCCCGCAGCTGCCCTGTGAGAAGAAAGGTCTTTTCCTTACAACTGAGATACTGGCTGAGTTGGTTTGGGCAAACAGCCAAGATCCCAAGTATTTTGTAAGCATATGAGCCTAGATCTCACAACAAGGGGTAAATGATGTCATAAATGAAGGCTGAGTTAAGGTCGAGCAGATAAACACATTTTGTTCTGAGCTTCCTGGTAAGCAAGCCAAAGAGAGAAAAATGAAGGCCTGCATAGTTCTCATTACCTTTAATGATTGTAGTTTACAATAGGTAATTAGTTACAGTATAATTACATAGAAATTAATATATAATGATATATACTGTGATAATTATATACAGTATATTACATATTAATATATCACATATTGTATAATGATGACATTATTATTGTTGTTGTATACACAAGACTTCGTCAGGACACCCAATGCTTTTTCCTGATTCATTGTCTGCAAGAAATCTCTGCAACTGTCTTTCTACAACAGACACTGGGCAGCATAAGGGATGATATCTGCCTTGATTCCTTTTATCAGCAAGGCAGGAATGTTTTCCAAATGCCTTCACTTAAAGAGACCCGTATTTGAGAAGTCAGGGCAACACCCCAGTCCGGGTCCTACACAGCGAGTCTGGTGGCTCAGGTTACACAGTCTTGGTCACAGGAGCCCCTGCCACTGCCCTTTCTGGTGTACCAGTGCCAGGAAGAAAGGACTAGAGGGCACACAATAGACTTGGGAGGAGAGCTCTCCATACAGAATTCAAAGCACTTACTTTGAGTGATATATCCACAAGAAAGAGCCTTCTGGGCTAAAAGCAAAAAAGAAATTAAAAAAAAATCATGTTACTTTTAATTATGAAAAAAGCTATTTTTTAACTCTTGTCATCAAAGCCTTGGGCTGAGCTGAGAGGCTGGATTGTTTGGCTTCTCCTACTTCTAGGTTCCGACACCTTCCTTTGAGATAGAACCGTTCATATCAAGAGACCAGGAATTTCCAGCTGTGGTCATTTCAGGGTAGCCAGAACAAGGGGTAGGAAGGAGGCTGCTGTCACCCAAGGAGGCGCTTCCCCAGAAACAAAACACTGCAGAGTCTGTATTTGCTACATCCAGCTCAGCAGCTTGGGCAGACAGCTCCAGAAGCACCTGCAAGGCTGGGCAGGTGACTTCTCTGGTGAACCATCTCCACTCCTCAACAGACACTTGTGAGCACATGTCACATGGCAAGTGCTTGGTCATGGTGATGGCTAAGACAGACCCAGCCCTGTGTGTCCTTGTGGAGCAGATAGTCTGTTACGGAAGATGGGCCTGATGCAAACAGTCTCACAGCTACAGGAGTGCAAACTCTAAGAAGAGGTATTAAAAAAGAGAAATAACTATGAGGACTCAACTGAACCTTGAAGATTTCCTGGAGGAGGAGGTAAAGTAATAGCTGAGTTCTGAAGGATAAATGGGAGTCTAGGTGAGGTAGCTACAGGAAGAGCATTCTTGATAGAGTAAAAAAAAAAATTATGCAAAGGCTGTGAGGAAGGAAACAAGTATTTAAATGTGCAAGTAAACAAAGTCACAATAGCCACTTGAAGAATTTCAAGTATTTCAAGCAGGAAAGGGACAGGGTCTTTTTTGCACCCGAAGAAAGTTGCTCAAGAGTAGATAGCAGGGATGTAAGTGTTGGTTTGGGGACAGGTTAGGTGACATCTGTGGTACAGATCAGGTAGCCACAGTGATGGGGAAAAGTACACTGCCATGAGAGTTTGGGGAAACAAGTCAGAACTTGTCATGCTGGATTGTGCCACTGTTTTGTGCAGGGACGCTGTGTTCAAATGCCAAACCTTACTCGCTCACTTCTGCCCCGTGTCTAAAGGAATTTAGCCAAGAAGATGACTTCTAGCGGCAGGCTTGGGTGCTCATACTGCCTGGCCCCAGGGACCTCTTAAAAAAGAAAAAGCAATGCCTAGTGGTTGTTTCAGACTCTGCCAAAGTCCCCTCCCTTCTCATCTCACTGTAGGAAGAAAATCCACGCCTTTCACCATTCTTGGATTTCCCTTCCAAGCCTAACACTCTCAACCAAGCTTTTAAGTTCCTTGGTTCTGTATTGTCTCTGGCAACATTCATGACAGTGAAGGCTGGGCAGGCTGTTCAAAGGGTGAAGAGTTAACACAAGTGGAGCCATCTTTAAAATGGCGCCTTCAGCTATTACCAAAAAATTGTGTTACAGTCTTGTATGATCTGGGTCAAAGACCTTTGGGCTGAGCCAAAAGCTATTGTTTTTAAAAACCATTAAGCAAACAATTGTTTGAAAAGGCATCCAGATCACAAATCCTGATCATTATGAACTTTTCCCCAGAGGATAGATCAGTCACCAATCATGTGTAGCCAAGAACGGGTTGTTATGTTAACAATAATTAACTCTTTTCTTTAGCCACTTGTCTTTGTCCTCTTTTCTTCTAAAAACCCATGGCTTTGTCACTCCTAGGGATATGTTTTAGGTGTCTCCCTGCATCTATGTATCCTGAATTAAAATTCTTAGCTCCCAAATGTGCTTTGCCTTTTAATGGCCTCCTGAAATTTTAGATTAACATATGTAATTGACATATCGGTGCATTCAGTCCTTACAACAATTAATGAAGTAGGTTCTTGTCTTCCTCTTCCTGTAGAGTGGAAACTGAGGCACAGAGGCATTAAGCGATTTGTCCAAAATCATACTGCTTGTGAGTAGAACCCCTACTTGAACTGGAGGGATTGAACTCTAGATCCTTCTTGAGGAGGTATGGCCTGCAGAAACCCAGTGCACAGGGCTCCCTCATGAGGATTCAGCATCTCTCATCCGCCTCCTCCTCACCCTCATCTCTTACATTCTTTCACTGTCTCAATGGTCATAGTGACGTCCACCTGCAGTATATGGCATCCCACATGTCTTCATCCTTACGGCAAAGTTCAAATGCCATCTTTCCTGTGCCTAGCTTAGTGCCTTGGCACACTGTAGTGCTCAATAAATGTTTATACAGTAGTATCTAAAATCCACTTTCCTTTAAGCCAAGTGTACCTTTTCTTCCTGATCCCTTCCCTATCTGATAGCCTTCTCCTCTGTATCATCACTACTTATGTGTGTGCCATCTTGCTCTATCTATTCAATAGACAAGAGTCCCCTAAGGCAGGAGTTCTCGTGGGCCCTCAGCATGGATACGTAGCTCAAGGAGTCTAAGATGAGTTGTAGTTACAACTTAGACATAAATTCACTAAGTCACAGGTAAACAACAGGTTAAGTCTCAGCACTATGAAGCTCTCCGCAGCCACTGCAGCATGAGGTCAATCACCTGGCCAGGGAGCTGACCCACATGGTGCAGCAGACCTCTCCTGTCTCCCCTCTGCTCCTCTCAGCAGTGGATTTCAGTCAGTCTGTGTGCTCTGCTCCCCACTCTGTGTCTGTGAATCCTCTCGCCCCCTGTACCTCTAGTCTATACCCCAGCTCTTGCATGTATAAGTAAATAAATCTTAAAAAGAAAAGAAAAGAAAAGAAAAACTCACTGAGTCACTTTACCTATTTGTTCTCCATTTTTCACTTGAACATGGGACCCTCGACTAAGGGGAGGACTAGTGGTGTATAAGAGAATGGACTATAGTCACATAGCCTGGGCCCCGTGTCTTCCTAAAAATGTGACCTTAAGCATCCACACTGGGGAGCAGGGTGCTCCTTACCAAAGAACTTGAACTCATGCCTCACAGGGCTTGAGCTGCGACTTACTGGGATCCAAAGCACAGTTCTTAGAACAGGCCATACTCAGTAGCCAGTAGCTGCATCATTATCATTGTCATCACCATCATTAATATTTTACTTTTAAAGTTTTACCAAGTTCTAAAATTCTGAGGTTTTCATTTTTTATCCTGTTGAACCAGCTGCCTTCGAAGCCTCTGGCCAGGGGACTCTACACAGCGAAGTGGGAAGTATCCACATCCACGCGCCAGACCACGACCCCAGAAAGCGACCAGAGCCCGCTGCAGCCACGTGTGGAGAGACTGCTCAGACTGCAAAAGAAGCCTCTTTGTGGGAGGTAGGTGCCAAACACACATTTGAACCTTTGGTTCCCATTCTTTAATTTTGTGAGCCACCCCAAATACGGAAGTACAAGTCTGGCTGACATTCAGAACACCAAGGTTATCCAAACAAGTGTTGAGAGCAGTGTGTCCACACAAGCATTTCAACCCTGGGCAGGAGCCCCAAAGGATGCTTCCTTCTTCTGTTAGATTCTACCACCTTCCAGAGCTCTTTCTTCTATTTACTCAAACCCCCTGTTCTGTTCTGCCCTCTGGAGCAGATGATGGTGGTGATGATGGTAGCAAACCTTCACTGAGTGCTTATTAAGCTCCAGATATTACGCAAAAGCTCAATACACAATAGCTTATTTATTCCCCTCAACAACCCATAAATCAGGCAACGTTGCTTTTGAAGACAGGGAAACTGAGGAACAGGGTGACTGAGGAACTTGCTCAAGGTCACAGAGTAGGTGAGTAGCAGCAGGACTGGTCCTGGTAGCCCAGCTCCCGGCACCAACAAGGGTCAGGCAGAGCCCCTAGGCAGCTGCGGGGTCCCCAGACCCCTGCACCCAACTCTGAGTTATCTTTCCTTAGAAATACGTACCCCTAACTTCCTCAATTTGAAACACCTGCTTTCTAGATCCCTTTACCTTGACTACATTCTAGCTTGCCATGCGTTTCTTAAAATGAGTTGTTCAGAATGAACCAGAATAACATTCACTCGTAAGCTGTTAGATGTACGTGGCACCCGGAACAATAGTTCCTGTACTCCAGAGAGCCCACGAAGAGAGAGTAGCTCCCTTTGAATTGCCAAGATGCTGCTGCTGGTGCCTCAAGTCTTAAAATTAAAGAACGGAACGAGATGTTCAAATGCTAATCCAGGCTGTCATTTTGAACTTGGGGGCCATAAAACACTTCAACATGAAAATATTAACTGTGCCAATAGCTCACCCTGCCCAGAGTTCTACACTGGACTCCTTGGATGAAAGATTAAGCAATGCCAGGGTCTCCTAAGTCAAAATCACCGGGCACTTGTGTAGCTGCTCGCAAAGACTTTCGGCAAGCCCAGAAATCTCTAGGACATTATAGTTTCTAAGAGCACAGAAGCAACCCATATGTTTAGGATGAATCTATTGATGAGTCTAAAAACTCAGAAATGTTTACTGCATTTTACTTTCCAGATTAAAAAAAAAAAAAAAGCAATGCCCAGAAGCTCTAGCCAGGCACACATGAATCACCAGAGACTCAAAGTGTATTTTGCAACAAAAAATCCACAACTTGAGTTGCTCCTTTACACTCTATAAATACTTTAGGATTGCAAAACTGAGATTGGATTTCTCATGGAATTCCTGTTTAAAATTTCTCCAGGTTATTTCCATGTTTCACTATACAAGTAATTTAAAGAGAACACTTTGGACTTTCATTTGACCACACTGTTCGGTTATTTCCATGTTTCATTATACAGTTAATTTAAAGAGAACACTTTGGACTTTCATTTGACCACACTGTTTGGGAATCTAACCGACCCTAAACTATAGGGGTGCAAACCCCACAAGATTAGAACGATGGTGGAGGGCAGATATTTGATTATCCAGAAGGTATTGGGATTTTGAAGACGACCCAGAGCTCCAGGTAGAATCCCTTCTTAGGGCTTCAGGTCCTCCTGATTTTAATTCGGCCTGGTGACTTGGCTGCTATTCAGAGGAGAAGAGTGTGTGCAATTCTTTCACCAATGTCATTGCATCACGTTTCATAATTACCTGTTGATATATTCCCAAAACACAACGATGACAGTCGAGACAACCAGCATTGACAGGATCACTTTTCCTTTGACATTCATTATTTTCGCCTGAGGGGGAAAAAGCAAAGGGAGAAAAACCAGATTAAGCAATTCCAGAGTGAAATACAGGTTTGATGTGATGTCTTTACCCACATCCTCTCTGAAAGGAAGTCTATAAATGTTTACCAAAAGCCAAAGATGTGATCCACCTTAAAATGCATAGGGCTCAATGACCCAGGATGCCAAGCTAATGACTCAACAGGACAAGCCTCCCTGAGAAGGCAGCCGAGGACCCTGGGGGCTCACAAGACAGGTGCAGAGGCCCTCGGGGAATGTGAGCTGCCCATGGTCCGTGGGATCAGCTTGCCTTGCTGCTAGGATGTGACCGCAGAACCCCCAGCTGCCTCTGATACACCAATCACCTGCCCCATTCACAGGGGACACCCGCGGTGGCCTAGGCTCCAACAGTTCCTAGCCCCTGCCAGCTTTTCCCCACCACACCCATGAGCAAGCCAGCATCCGGGCCCAGAAGTGCTGCTTGGAAGTGATGTTGAAGGGGTGTGGGTGCCATGTAGGAACAACAGGCTGGCAAGCACTTTGAGGGGTGTGAGGGAAGGACTCCCCGAGACAGGACTTCCCTAGGGAGCGGACAGGATGGAGAAGGATGGGAATATCTCTGGTGTGGCATCTAATTGGCTGGCAGGAGAGAAGGCTTCTCGTGTTTGAACAAAGCCAAAACAAAACACCAGCATGAGAAATAGTGGTGTTCCCTCAGGGGGGCTGGGTGCCACGTGAGGGTGGGCAGGGCAGTCAGAGCTGGACAGGCGTGGAAAGGGGTGGGGAGCCACAAAAGAAGCTGAAGCTGGAGACTCACTGTCCAACTTCATTGGGTCCCCGCCTGGATGCAGGGGGTAGAAGGGCAGGAGCCGCCGGGGACAGTGGGTCGGCTCACTCTCCTAGTGGCAGAAAAGGGGGGTGGCCTGTGCTGGGAAGGCGGCAGGGGGGCAGAGAGAAGTAGATTCATTTAAAACATGCTCTGGAGAGACAGACAGGACTTGGCTGGTAACTTAGACATCAGGGACGAGAAGGAGGAAACCAGGTCAGGTTTCTGCTGAAGCTGCTGGTGGGACGGTTGCAGGATGCTATCAGATGGGCTGGGACGGTTGGACGAGGGTCAGAGATGGGACACAAGAATCACAGATGTGTTAGTTTCCAGAAGCGAAGATGGCGCACAGGCAACAGATATTCCAGCCTGAAGTTCACTGGGGAGGGGTGGGCAGGACACACCACCGATGACACTGAACATGAAGGGAACAAGGGCGGTTAGCTGGGGGGAGAATGCTGAGAGAAGCGTGGAGACCCGGGGAGGCCTGGGGAGGCCCGGGGCCCAGAAAACAGGCAGCTCCGCTCCTCCGCTGGAAGAAGCCCCGAGTCCACTCAGCCACCCTAGCGCTGAATGCTGGACGGGGTCTGGGTCTGTGGGGGAGTCTTCACTCCCTGGGACGTGTGAATGGTGGGTAAACACGTGTGCTCTGGACTGAGGGTGGGCTTTGTGTCCTAAGCTGGATCTGGGTAACCTGGAGTGTGAGTTCATTCTTGGGACCCTCATCCACAAGCCCACCTAGCTCTGAAAATCAAGCGTCTGTGATTCAGATGATGTTGGGAACCAAAGTGACACGAAGCTATTTTTAGTTCTTATGCCACTTAGTGGGGCTGGGTCAACATTCTCTGCAAAAATACTGATGCTTTTTTAATGTGCGGCGGCTGCTGCTGCTGCCCTGGGGTATTACATGCTACGTGATACTATGTGCTACATCATCCACACCCCAACAGTCCGAATTCCAACATCCCTGTCCCTCAGCAAGGGGACCGTGGGCCTGAACGGATCCCATTTAGCTGTTTTCCTCATCTCTAAAATGAGGACGGCTGCAAGTGATAATGTCACAAAATAATGGAGCACTGTGCCTCGCACCCTACGCATGCTCCGAAAATGCTAGTTCCTAGTCCAGATGTTCAGAAAAGGGCTTCACCCGTGAAGATAGCACAGTGCCTGGTTCTTAGCAAGCGCTCAAAATATATTTGTGGAAAAGAAAAGAGGTTTTGGATTAAGAAGTGCAAATGGATGCAAACAAGGCTCTGAGGTTGGGAGTACCCATCTTGTCTGGCCTTCGGCTGATTGAGAACCCCTGGGAAGGGGTGCAGGCCTTTCATTTTCTGGGCCTGACTACATAACCCAGCACGCACCCAGGAGGTGCCACACTGCCCGATGTGCAGGCTCAGACTGGCTCATTCCTACGAAGTGGCGCAAATACAGATCTGAGAATGCAAAGTCTCCTAGCAGAGAACAAGATGCTTGCAGCAGGCAGAGCCAGCCTAGGCAGGTGGCCTACATAGGCGGCTGAGTTTTTCATTTCAGACATGAGCATCAGCGGCAGCTCTCGAAGGCCATGTCTTTCAAGACGTCAGGGATTTCTTGAACCTGCTTAATTTTCGCTCTGTGGCGGTCATTTGTTTAAGACTTAAATGGGAATGGGAGCTGCCAAATTCTTTAGCAGAGCAGATTCCAGAATCTGGAATCCAAGTCTCCAGGGAAGGAGGGGTTGGCAGGATGGCCAATAGATATTTTAAAACATTTTTATTCTTCTCTGGACAAAAATGAGGCATTTGGTGAATAATGTGTTCTAAAAGGCCATCTCTATGTGTTTGTCTTTCAGAATTTTTAAAATGTGTAATTTTGATGGTCACTGGTTAATTAGCTAAACCGACCCTATCAGAAACGAGGGGTTGCTTCTCTATTCTCCATTTAGGGGACAGAACACTGAATTAGGAGCAGTTTTAACGCCTGCTCAAGGGGACAGGGTCCCTCCAGGGCCAGGCCCCTTCAGAGGACATGATGAACCCGCCAAGGCCTCCCCCCAGCTCTCAGGCCTACCTGCTCCCTGTCCTCCCACCCACGTGGGCTGCCCTGGGCCACTTCAAACCCCGGCCCCTGCGGAGGTTCCCAAATGAAACTGCTCTTACCCGCCCTCCCGGAAGCTGTGAGCATTGTGCCAAAAACCTGGGGCACGCTGAAGGCCAGGACACATTGTAAAGTCTGTCATTTCTCCGCCTCCCCTGCTCTGCTTCCCTTCTCCCTCCCCCTTTTCTGCTTCAATTTCCCTGGAATGTCAGACAGACTCTGCCATGTGGCCCATGAAGGAATTCTCTTGACCCACCCCCAACCTGCCCCACACAGCAGCACCAGTATGTGCACACACACTTTCACGCTGTGCCATCCCAACTGGGCTGAGCCAAGGTGTTCCTTCCAAGCCGAATTCCTCACAACATCTCACACCAGAGGAAAGGTGACTGGCTCAGCAGGGTAACAGAGCCTCAGAACTCTGGAAAAGCCATTATCTCTGGGGAACAGGAGCCGGAGGGAGGGCCGGGGAAAGCAGTGGCCGGGGAAGCCAGCCTCTCCCTTCCCGGAGACTAAGGCATCCTCCTCCCTGCCTGGGGCTGCACCCCCTGCCCCCCAGCTGCCCTGTGCTCAAGCCTTGGTCTTTCCTGGACCACTGCTCAGAGACCAGAGAGGATACAGAATGGCAGGTGTTGGAAATGAGCAAAGGTTAAGGGGCTGGGAGCTTCATCTCGGCCATCCCAGGGAGCACCGATAGGCGGGCCTGCGTGGATCCCCTCAAGTGATTGATCAGTGATGGGGTAACAGTCAATTTATGTTGAAAACAGACGCTGACTTACAGGAAGCGAATGCAGCTTCGGGCCAGGCCCCTTGGAAGGCTAGGCCAGATCCCCTACCCGAGTGGGGCCTGGGGAAGGCCCAAATGTTCCCAGAAGCCAGGAGTGCTGCCCCTGACAGGGAGACTCACTTGGCACCTGTCCTGGGGCTGCAGGCGGAGCTGAGGGACAAACCCCCCCCTCACTGCCCCCCCAACTGGGTCCCAGGGACACCTGGCTGAGCGCTTGGGGGCCTCCCCTGTGATCCCTCTGCTTCCTGCTTAGGGGTCCTAACAGACCTCACAGCCACGGTCCCCCCGCCCCATCAGGACCCACGTCCAGCTGCCCTACAGTGTCCAGAGAGGATGAATTGCTGAGGGCTTGGGCCTGAACAAAAGATTTACAGATGTGGCATCACTGATATCAAGTTGTGAAGCTGAGAGAAGCTTTTCTAAATCCTCAAAAACAAAAAAATCCCTTTGTGAATCCAGCTAGAGATGAAAGCCTTTGTCTTTCTTTTGTCTCTGGGGGAAAATGGCACCACAAATGGCGGTCAGGTGAGTGGCAGGTTGGCGCACGGGGCTGACACAGGTCAGGGGCAGCAGGCCCTGAAGTTGTACCAGTCACTGTGCGTTACCTGCCCGTCGGTGCTAGGGTGCACTTGGCCGTATTTCTGGGTTTGGTCCTCTGTGGCGTACTTGTCTTGGCTCTGTGCTGCGTGAGCTCTTCATCTATTCTGGGAGCCTGCGGCTCTGGCCCCCGAGCCCAGAGCCTCAGTGCCGCTGTGCTTTGTGCTCGTGCCCTGCCTGATGGTGCATTTGCAGCTTTGCATTCTTGCTCACAAAGAGGGTCCTGAAAGTGGAGTAAGTTTCAGGCCCGCAATGCCTGGATGCTCCCAGCAGGGCTAGGGGGGACCCGGAGTACAGATCCTCTCAGCTGCCCCGGTGAAGCCTGCCCACCTGCCTGAGAGTCTCTCTGCGACGACCACCCTTTTTCAGATAGGAAAACGGAGGCTCAGCAAAGGTGAAGTCACCTGCCCAGGTCACACGGCATGAAGTGGTAGTGCCAGGGTTCAGGCCCCGGGTGTCAGCCTCCAGGGCCGCCCACACTCAGCCACCCTGCTCCCAACCAGCACCGGGTTTTGGCTGTGGGCTCATCTTCTGCTTTGCTGCCACTAATCTGTAGCAGACCAGAGCTCTTGGGCTGCAGGCTAGCCTTCTGGAGGCTTCCCCTGGGACCCTGAGCGCTGGGTGAACGCCTCTGGCATGGCTGGGCACCTCCCCTGTGCCTGCTGTGGGTCTTCCTCTCTCCTCCATCCTGCCTGAGTCTCAGCAGGGCCAGTGCTGCTGAGGAAACAGCTTTGGTGAAGACTGAGATGTCGGGGCTCACCCAGAAGGGGGTGCCAGGTTTGAAAAGCTGCTTCTCTGGCTTCCAGCCTGAGGCTGGGCCTGGGGGTGAGGACGAAGAGCACTACCTTACCCTAAAACACCTCTAAGTAGTGGGTGCTGAGGGTTATTAACACTCTTCTGGCAAGGCACGGCAAGATTCATGGAGGAAAAGGGCTCGCGAGACTGTTCCAGTTGGTTCTCATTACGAGGCTTAGCACAAACACAGACGGGGGAAGTGGAGAGACAGGTCTCAGACTAAATATAGGACGGTGGCTCCAGCCGTCGCAAAGGGAACAACCTGTTCTCCCAGGGACACCCACCCCTGCTTTTCTTGAGTCCACCTTCAGGAGATCTGAGCCAGACGCAGCCAGAGTTTTCTTGCTGCCAGGTCCAAAAATCATCGTGCAAGGATTTTTCCAAGAGAAATAAGGCAGCTGCCAGCAAGGACCTCACATCTACCCACAGCGCCTCCCACTCCACTGTGGTGGGAGGGACACCCCAGCGCTGGCCCAGCGGGACAAAACCCTGCAGAACATACAGGGCCGCCCTGAGCCAATTCCCACGTCCAGATCCTGCGCTGCTGTGTGCAAAGAAGGATTTCGCCTTCTTCCAGAACTACTGGGGGGGGAACCTGTGGGCGGTTAAGAGGAGAGCCAGACTCCTCCCCCAGGCAGCCTGCTGGAGATTCCCCGGAGGGCTCCACCACCCCCACCCCAGGCAGAAATAAATCATTTCAGCATTTCACATACCTCATCGTCTGCTTCTCTCCCCACCGAGTAAAAAGCAAACCACACCGTTCTAGCGAACTGGATTCTGCAGAAGAAGCCAGGCCGGGGAGGGGAGGTGCTGCCTTCCAGCTCCTGTCAAAAGGATAAACAGCTGTTTCAGGAAGAGGGGGGCAGACAGCTCTGTAGCTGCCAGGAGCTTTGTTCCCTGCCTGCCCTGGGAAGTGGGCTGTTTATCATCAGGTCTGTGGACCCAGCACTGCCTGCCCAGCAGAGACGCTCTCCCTGGGCCCTGCACAGCCCGGCCTCCTTCATCACGCCAAACTAGGCCTGAGGGAGCAGGGAGACTCTCTAGAGGGACCCATAGTGGCCACGTCACTGCTCCTGCACAAAAAGGGGATCCGTCTGAGTCCACCAGCCCAAAGTGACAGCACCAGGAACAGCCAGATGAGGAGTTTAAGCTCAACAGGAGGGGGGATGGGCGAAGGAGCAATGACTCAGGACCAGCGCTGAAATGCTCCCTCCATGGTCACCTCTCCTCCACATCCTCTCGGCTTCGGAAGTCATATTTTTGTAGAATGTTTTGGGAGCTCTCACATTGCCAACCAAGCCATAAGAACTTTAAAAGGTCACAGAGGCCCAACTCTGCACGTTGGCTGAAAAATGCTTAACCCTTCCCACACCCACCTCCTGTTCCCAAAATGGAGCTTTCCAGCTAGAAGGGACCTTTGTTAGAGGAGTGGACGTTCAACCATCGCAGCAGCTAAAACTGTTCGCAAAAACACATGAAGTCATTCTCAAAACACTGCGATGTCAGAGGCAGGACTTGGCTAGAGTAGGGAAAAGGAGCTCGGGGGTCCTCTACCCCAGCCCTCCCAGGTGGCCCCAGACATCTGCTGGGGTACAGCTCAGACACCCCAGACTAAGAAGAGAACAGAGGGTGTGCCAGCCAGAGAGGAGCCAAGGGCTGTCCCACCCAAGGGAATATTTAATCCAGTACCTTTCCCCCAGTACCTTTTTCCGAGGCCCTTCCACTTGGGACACGCAATCTTTAGAGTCTGGAGCATGTCTCTAACAACTCACTTAAGTACTCCCTGCTACTCCAGTTGAACAAATGTCCACTTTCTAACCCTGCCATTCCATGCCAGGTCTGGACCCCAAAGAAAAGTTACAAAGCTCACCAAGACACATGACCGGTCAGAGCACACCCCCAAAGGGCAAGCGACCCCAAACCCTTTGTCAGAACAGAGAAGTCCCACTCTGGAGCGGGCTTCTACTCACAGCAGTGAGGAGTAGACTACCGTGCTAACGGCAGCAAGATGAGCCTCAGACTCACTCTTGAGCAGTAGCAGCTCTGGGTGATCCATTTACTTAGAGCTCAAAAACCAGCAAAACCAACATCAAACTGTGCTGTTAGAAGGCGGGGAGGGGACCTCCAGGGGGCCCACCCCGTGACGCAGCAGGTTAAAGCACCATGAAACTGGCCTCAGTCGCATCACCATGTGTTCGATCCCCAGCCCCGGAGGTGACCCACAAGGCACTGCAGACCTCCCCTGTCACCCCCACTGCTCCCCTCACCAGTGCACTTCATTGATCTGCCTGTTCCGCTCCCCACTCTGTCTCTGGTGAATCCTCTCACTGCTCCTTCGCCTCTGGCCTGTACCCCAATTCTGTATGCATAAATAAATAAATCTTTAAAAAAATAAAAGTATACATTGGGGCCTCCCGGGTGGCACAGGGGTTAAAAAAAAAAAAAAGAAGGCAAGGGGGTAGAAGAGACCCGCTGGGGCCAGGTGGGACCAGGGGTTCCTGGGGGGCTGGTGGTTAAGTCATTTTCAGGCTCTTGGGTAGTGGAGGTAGAGGTGTATCCACTTTGTGAAAATTCATCACAAAGGTGCCTTTCTAGGCTGTCTGTTAGAGGAACAGAAGTGAGCAGACACCTTCCTGCTAGTAGCTGCCTTCCCTCAGGACAGTGTCCCCCGACTCTCACTCGAGGGCCACAGGTCCACAGACAGGCCCTGCCTTTCCCACCTTCCGGGTTCCCTACCCCAGCACCAGGAGCCATGCCTCCCCAGGGTTGGGGTAACAGAGCAGAAGTCTGGTCGGCGGGAGGGCCAGCCAGGCGTTAGCAGGCTAAGATAGATCAGTCCTCCCAACGAGCAGACGCTGGTCCCCACACACGGTCTCCACTTGACAGTTTACAAAGCTGCCCTTCTCCTTTGTCAGTGGAGCCCCGGGCTCCCCCACAAAGTGACTGGGGCAGGGGGAGGCTCTGGGAGCCTCTAAGACCCACTGCTGGGGCCGGCTGGTGGTGCAGACTGACCTTGAACACTGAAGGGATAAGAGGGGCCAGGCTGGTCAGCTGCCTCTCGACAGGACGTGCACATCCAGAACACCGATCCAAAACCATCTGGCTCTTACCCTGACACAGCCTGACATGCTCAGACCCTCACAGAGGAGCACACACCTGGCCGTTCCCTGAGAGACTGACTATAGTAAGTGGGCTCTGGGTTTGTGTGCTGCTGATCAGAGGGCTTTAGGCTGCCCAGGTTAGGGCTCAGGGTAGCTCCCCAAGTCAGGATGGCAGGGTCTTGGAGTTTTGGCTGGGGTAACCCAGCTGTGGGGGCCCCTGGTTTGGGGTACCAGGACTCTTCCTGCTGGGAAAGGTGAGAGTTCAGATCCCCACCCTGCTTCCCTCTGTTGGATGTGAAGACTAAATGTTCTTGGTGAAGAAAGCTAGTGCCACATGGGCCTCAGGGTGCCATGTTGGCTAAGGGTGATTGCCTGGGGTGGCCAGGAAAGACATTTCTTGCTGTGGCTCGTGGAGATAAGCCTCAGTGCCACCTCTCAGCACGGACACTGGGACCAGGCTGCCAGGGCTTGAGTCTCGGCGGCTCGGTCCCTTCCACTGTGGAATCTTGGGCAATGAACTTGACTTCTCTGTGCCTCTCCTGGCACCTGTAAAAAATGGGCTTAATAGGCTTGCATGGTACCTGTGCTATGAGGTACGGGCTAGATTTGTATCCCCTCTTGCTTCAAGGACTCAGGGTTCCACCTGAGTTACTTCACCATTGTCAGCCTCTAGTGTTCAATCAGCCTAAAGTTTCTGTTCACTCAAGTTTATATTAGTGCATCAAACATGCATTTTGACCACATGGTCCCTCAGGGAGGGAAGCGAGAAAAGGGAAGTTCCTACTGTGATGCTTCTTTTATAAACATTAAGAATTATCACATCTGAGCATGTGGAGAAAGGGGGGCCTCGGACTCTGTTGGTGGGAAAGGTAGACGGGCCCAGAGCCCTATGACACAGTATGGAGGTCCCTCAAAATATTAAGGTAAAGATTCACAGTTCTGAGTCATAAGAACGGGAACTCAGGGTAAGGTCGGAAGCCTAGGGAGTTGTTTGGCCTGATGCATAAACCCTGGAATGAAAGGGAAGTTCAGTCTCCCCAGGACTGTATCCCACTTCTACCTCTCCTAACACTGACAGAGGACCATCTAGGCTGACCCGGACATGCTAATGGACGTGGTACAGGCAAGGATGTGAAGCAAGTGCCATTAAAACTCAAGCACCACAGAGAGGGGTTTTCTTGCTGCCTTCATCATTACTGGGTTTCCTGGCACAGTCCCCGGCACTATTAGATGCTCAGTGGATGTTTGTTGATTGAATATTGAGTGGAGCTGACAGGACCAAGTGCGTGCATTTGACCGTGCACTGATGCAATAAGGAGAAGTGAGGCCTGTGGTAAATGGGAATTTCTCCCAAAATGAGATTTTTTAAAAAGATTTATTTATTTATGTTTACAGAACTGGGGTACAGGCCAGAGGTGCAGGGGCAGAGAGAGGCTTCACCAGAGACAGAGTGGGGAGCAGAGCAGGAAGATTAACTGAAACACACTGCTGAGGGGAGCAGCAGGTAGGTCAGAGAGGTCTGCCGTGCCGTGTGGGTCACCTCTGGGGTCAGGGATCAAACTCGTGCTGAAGTGGCTTTTGTAGTGCTGTGCTTTCACCTGCTGCGCCACCAGGGAGGGCTCCTAATCAGATTTTAAAAGGAAGAAAACTATGCCCAGATAGCACTTTTCTGACACAGCGTGTGGCATATTGGTCATAGATGACTCCTTTTTTAGGGGAAATCATTTTGTACTGGAAACTAGAAGCATTGCATTGGAACCCTGCTTGCCACCTGTAAGTGTGACTTAGGCATGCCCTTTATCCTCTCACCTGAGGGTAGAGGGTCCCTCCTGCTTGCTGTGCCATGCCTGGTCCTGAGCTTGGGGAGACAGCTATGGATCAGGCTTCTGTAGAATTTGACTGGGAGAAATCGCAGAAGGCGTTACGGGGGAGGTGACATGATTAAATGGACCTTCTAGCCTTCTTCTTCCCAGAGACCCCGCATTTCAGTCTGCACAGCCTCTTCCCCCTTTTCTGCCTTACACACCTCTTGAAGACATGCTGGGAAGCTAGCCTGCCTAGGAAGGTGAAAACACTTCTATTCTGTAGGGTGAATTATGGCCCCCAAAACAGAGAGACCCAGTCAATTAAGAGAACAGAAATCCGGCTTCCTGAAGAGAAGGCCATAGAGAACTTTCTCCCACCCCAGGTCACTACCAACGCCAGAATGAGGGTGGAGCAGCCGTGGAGTGACAGGGCAGGCAACCTGCCTGGGCCTCCCTCCTGCCAGCTTGACCCAGGAAGCATTTCCCTCCTTCCAAGAGCATGAAGATGGGGGCAGTTGGCAGTGAAGAAGATTTTTAAAAATTGGGTGTGGTGTAGTGACATGTACCTGGAGAGGTGTGAATCTACCCGCCTGAAACACATGCAGTGCTGTAAAGCGCTGTTACCTGCTACACAAATGAAAAGGGATGATGTCAATACTGATAATGCAACCAGAATGAAGGAAGGTCCAACAACGCAGCTTATAAATCCGGTGACAGATCCACAGACCACATGGCCTCTGCAAGTCCTTTCTCCCAGCCCCCCAACCCCCGGTCCCCTGCTGAAGCAGTGCACCCCCAGACTCTCACGGCTGGACGAGGCCAGGCCCCACCAGCGCCCGCCATGCCTGTCCCCGCTCTCTCTGCACACCCACTGCACACCCAGGGCCCGAGCACAGCCTTCAGAGCTTCGCTCCCCAG